CTGGCTCTCCTTGTCCTCTTTACGAGCCACCAGGAGCAAGGCTTCTTGTACCTCCCTAGGTGGATGTTTTTCTGGTTTGCTGACTTTGTGCATATAGACATTTTCAAAATATAGCAAGTTATTCAGCGTGCCAACAGTCTTTGAAATAAAGGGCATAACTGGTTTTATAGAACATTCACTCTTTAGCATATAGAGACTCAGTTTTTAAAAAAACAGTTAAATCTGCATCTTATAGACTTAAGTGTTGTTCGACTGACCGAAAACCTCCACAGCTGATATTTAAACATAGTGTAATCTTTTTTACTACAGAAAGGGAAATATTCTCAGTGATGTGATTTTCCCTCAAATATTTTATACAGAAATGATTGCTAGCTGTTTGCCATATTTTAACCTAAGGATCGATAAGACAAGTTTCCATTTCAAGGATGTAAGTAAGGTCTATAGGCAGTAGGAACAAGGAAGAGCTATGTGCTAAAGAAATCCCCACCCTCAAGTAAACATATTACATGGCTGCAGTCAAAAAGCACATGATCCTGTGCTTGTACTAAAAAATCTTCCTTTTGCCCTCAAAGCAATCATGTGGGACAGCACCCAGTATTTAGAGGCTCAGATAAACTCAATATCCTCTTTCTCTGTCCTTGAGTCATTCAAAGTCCAGGAACATGTGGCTCAAGACAGCCTATGTAGAAGAGTATGGGGTTTTATTGAGCAACATGGGGGTTTTGTGGTGGAGGAGAGAAGATGAAAAACAGCAGAGAAAACGGGCTATATATGACAGAGTGGTGAAAAGAGAAACTTAAAGGATGGTCTTTTCTTGCTTCCCATCTGTACCTCTTTGTTGTGCCTAGACTATCACACCAAGGAGGTACAGATGAGAAGCAAGAAAAGACCATCCGTCATATTTTTAATCTTACCATTAGTAAAGAGCCTGGAGGAGAGAGAAAAGTGAAAAGAGAGAATATACCAACCATGTGGCAGAAGACACTGTCACCCACTGGGTAAAGCTGCCTGGCTTCTGGTGACCAGCTCAGGTCATTGCCCAGCCCACATGCCCCAGTGAGTCTTTGCGGGGCATCCTGGACTCTCTGGCTCCAACAGTCTCCCTTTTGGTACACTCCACCTGAGTCCTGGCTTAAAATAGCAGGTGAACTTCTCAGAAAAGGGTTGGGTGCCCAGGTGTTTTTGCCCTGCCCAGCCCCAGGGAGCCTTGATTGAAGCTCTGTACTCCAAGAACTACTTTAAAGCAAAAGTAAATAATGTTACACACAACAGCACTCAGACACAAGATTTTGAGCAATAGCTCAGTCCCATATTAAAATTATTTTCCATCTTAAAGTATTCCATCTAAATGATGTTATGGTGGAAAATAGGATTTTTTCTTTGACAGATTTCTATGACTTACGAGGAATGAATGAGCATATACAGGAATATGAAGTCCAGAAACTGGGGGAAATTAAACCCGTTGCTTTCAAATCTTCCCATGGAAATTTTCTCCTCTCTGCAACATAACATTGGGATTTTCCTCTCACTACAGCCCAGCATATCCTAGTGGCTATGGTTTCTTTGACAGATATTATTCCATTTGTTGTAGCTTTATCTGAAGCAACTAAACAGGACATTGTGTAGCTTGTACAGTAGAAGTCTAGGAGGGTTTTCTTTCTCTGGGTTCTTTTTTTGTGTAAAGCATCTGTATCTGCCTGTCCCTGAGGTCATGATCCCAAATCTGCTCAAGTCAGTAGGAGTCATTTTCTTCTGCTGGCCCATGGCCAGAGTCAATTCACATAATATAGCTTAGTATGCTGCAGTGGTTCTTCAAGCCAATATAGACAACTATGTTGAATTCCCTCTTAGAAAGTGATTAATACTGTTATAATAGTTATATTTTAATTATATCTTATTTAAAATTCCAGACTAGACTTACTCTCTGTGCAAATGAAAAAATTATGATGTCTTCCTCTTTGATTTTGTAATTTTTGTCTGGCTCATTTATGACCTATCCCAGTACACATCTTTGTTCTGTTACACTTATTTATTATTGCTGCAGCCACAATCAGGTTATCTTCTTTCTTCTTTCTGATACTCCAGACTATTGGTCTCTGGCCCTGGGGAATGTAATTTCTAATTCCTGAGTGCAGAACATGCTGTGATAAGAACAGCTATTGTGTATATACTGACACTGCAATTCCCTTACCAGTGGAAAAACCTGTGGTGGGCAGGAATAACTTCTTGCTTCATCTGCCATGGATCACTGTAACTACAATGAATCCAGTCACATTGTGAAAGCAAGGAGTGAGAGGGGAGGAAAATTGTGTAGATTTCAGATCAGCAACATCCACTGTACATTATTTTGTGCTCTGTAACTTTAGGAATGTGGAGTCAGGCTTGTGATACACAGTTTTCTACAATCCCTTGAAGGTGCTGAAAAGGGAAGATGAAATTGTCGGCATGAATTTTAGAAATTATAATTTTCTTTTCTTATGTAGTTAGTCCTCAGCTGACTTTTTCATCTTCCTGTTATCCACCTTACCCCAAGGGCACCCAGAGCAGGCACATGATGCTTTCTAGAGGGAGGTTTCTCCTGTCTTATTGACAGTGTTCAGCCATCCAGATAGGTCATGGCTGGGCACAGTGAGGTTCTACACTCTCAAAAGTAAAAGCATTTTTAAACCTCTCATATTCCTTTAACATAGAGCCCATTTTGTTGCTATTTATAGTTGTTATTTTTGTTAAGCACTGAAGCCCCTAAGTGTTTTATCTATGCAGATGTAAAATTATTTTGTCTCGAGGGTTTGTTTTGATTTCCTAATTTTCTGTAGACAACCCACATCGTGTTTTGCTCATTCAGTAATTTTGTAACTGAGGTGTTTTTCCTTTTCTTTTCAGATGCAGAGGGAAATTGCTTATACGGGGCGAGATGGCCAAAGTGGTTCTCGCCCTGGTTCTGCCCCACACCCTCTGCATGCGATGCCCAGCTCACCACCCTCCACCCCGGTGCCCCACTCCATGCCTCCCTCTCCATCCAGGATTCCCTATGGTGGGGGCCGGCCCATGGGTGTGCCAGGCAATGCCACCATCCCCAGGGACCGGCTGTCCAGCGTGCCAGCCTCGCGCTCCATATCGCCCAGCCCAAGCGCCATTCTGGAGAGACGGGATGTGAAGCCGGATGAGGACATGGGTAACAAAAACCTTACCCTGATGCGAAATGAAAGCCTGTACGGGGACCCCTACTTGTTTCACGAGGGGAGGATGAGCGTGGCTGCACCGCACTCCGGACACCCCCTGGATGTCCCCGATCACATTGTGACCTACCATCGCAGTGCCATGAGGTCATCGAGCACTTACTGCAACCCATCCATGCAGCCTGAAATGCTGGAGCAGTCCTTGTACAGACAAAAGTCACGGAAGTACCCGGAGAGCCATTTGCCCACTCTCGGCTCTAAGACGCCTCCAGCCTCACCCCACAGGGTGGCCGACATGAGAATGATCGATATTCATCCTCACCATGGCCCTCACATTCCCGCCCACACCATCCAGCCGGACAGGTCTTCTCCCAGCCGCCAGTCCTTCAAAAAGGAGCCGGGACCGCCCGTGTTTGTGGATGCGAAAGCGCGGAATGCTGTTGGCCTGCCAGGCATGGCCGAGGCAATGCCCTCTCCCATGGACAAGCAGGCTTTTGGCTATGGGTCACCCACGATGCCCAAGGACAAGGAGACAAGGTAAGGCAGAGCTAGGGCTTAATTTATGCAAATGAGAAACGTTCCTAATCTGCACATCCTTTGTCATTTAAGACTCGGGACAATGTAATGTGTAGGAGGCTGCTGCACCCGGCTGCAGTGTTTATTAGCTGTCTGTCAAGGTAGTTAGTAATTTAGGGGAGATGTGACACCATCCATTATTAATTTGAAAGTATTGTCAACCCATGATGAATCCCTAGTTATTTTCATTTGTGTAAATTTCAGTCATTGGAAAAAATATAATAAAATAAAATGATTAACTGGGATTTTTCTTTGCAGACAGCCAGATCATGTTACAAGAACAAATGATGTTCTGTTCCTGCTAATAAGGGAATATATTTCACCCCCGTTAAGAATGACACTCTGATATTACAATTTTGGTTCTTTATGGAGTGAAGTTTTTCTCATCTAGTGTTAGGAAATGGGAAGAATTTATCATTACTGTCTTATCTCCTGTAAAGCATGAATTTGCATAAAAATAGGGCATTTGTTTACAATAATCTTCCTTGAGGGAAAACTGCTGAGAAAAGCAAGTCTTCCCAGGGAAGAAATTGAAACATGAATACTGTTCCAAATCATTTTTCCAGCATCACAAACAGTTGGTGACCTGACTGTTGTTAACTTTAGTGCGATGGCAATGATGACAATGATCTCTCCTGTCTTTTCAAGGACCACATTTACACAGAGGTCTGTGAAGGCTTCTCCTGCCTTAGACCCTGCCCTGGGAGAGAACAATCATTGCACTGCCAGGCAGTTGCTGTGTATTTATATGAGCTGTGTTAATCTCTAGTGTATTGTTTGTGCTATTAACTTTTATAGAGCTCTTTAGGGAAGTGAAGATGAATAGCTGGAAAATGCTGAGCTCACAGAGGCCAAAGGTAACTGCTGATTGCCTTAACCACTGGAAAGATACAGAGTTTCATACAGACCCTAGGCTTCCCCTCTCTCTAAGCAGCTAGCCCAATAATTAGTTGCCACTAGAAAAAAAATATGGGTCATGAAGTCCACTGGATGGGAAAAAATGGAAAAATATAAAGAAAAACAGCCACCCACAAAAATTACAGGCTTGTAGTTTGGTAGTTATGACATAAGAGTATGAGATGGGGCATATTACAATCTAAAGTCAGTGAAAATGGATTTTTATGTATCTGTTTCCAAGAGAAAGTTGCAAGTATCTGAAATTTCATTTCAAGCCACCATTATTACATCTAGGAAATTATTTGAAGGAAATTTGCCAATTTTAATCCATTTACAGATTGAAATTTTTACAAAGTTCATTATAGGAATTGAAAATAAGGAAGGACACCAAAAACTTTTATATTTGTACAATTTTCTATCTTCTCTGGGCATCTCAGCTGTTCGCTCAGCTGCACAGATATGCACAAAGGTGTTTGTTTGTGAATGGATAAAGAGAAACTACACAGATAGTTCTGCAGCTCCTTAAAAGGGAGTTTTGCACCAGGTGTTTTAATTCTGGTCCCAGAATATATTAACAAGGAAGAAAACAGCATTTGCATAATTGCACTTCCAAATAAATACATTACCTTAAAATTCAGCATGGTGTGTATTAGTCACATGGCACTGAAAGTATAATTTTGAAAGCTGTCTTTATGGGTTGTGGGTTTTTTTAACCTTGAGGAAGTGTGACTTTCTAAAAATAATTGTAAATATCAAAAGGAATTAATGCAAATTGGTGTGTTTTCTAACTACTGCAATATTAAGAATTGGGTTTGAGTTCTACAAACACAAAATGCTCTAAGCTTTAATTTAGCTTTATAATAATTTCATGAACTTTGAAAGCAAACACTGTTTAAACCATACTAAACTAAACAAGGGATTGTCCAAGTTGAGGTGCTCTTTTTCTGCTTCATCAGGGATTGAGCTGTTACAAGGTTGTTATGGATACCTGAAGGGTGAGGTACATAATGGCAGAATGGTATCTCCTACCTTGTGTAGGACTTAGAGTTTACACCCATAAACAATATGGGTTTACTTCTGTGAGCAGGTATTTTTGGGATTGTAGAGATAGGGCTCAATTAATTCTCTTCCAGGCATGGTAAAATGAGGTGTGGGCTATAGGCTGTGTATGTTATCCCATTGCTGATGCCAAGTGCCGAAAGCCAGGCCACAGCACACACATGTTCAGTCAGCCTGTGGGCAGAGGTGTCAGCTGTGGGCAGACAGAGGAGCTCTTAGCCTTGGAGCTACTGAGGAGAGAAGTCTTTTTCATCTCTGCACTGTGGCACCAGAGACTCACCATCCTGACTCATTCAGGTTGAGGACCCTGCAGACACCAAACCCATTATATCAGCACTGTTGTTGCTTTAATCCCTAGTGGAGTGTGCTGAGAGCAAAGAAAACATCTCTTGTGTCATAACTTTATGGAAATTTCCCCAAAGTAGCACTGTCACAACCTCAGGACAATGCAAGTTTAAGTATAAATCAGGGGAAAGATTGAAAGGGATAGTGACAATGTCAGAAGTAAAAGTGAATCTCTCTTCCCATCTCAATTCTCTTTCAATTTAGCAGTTCAAGGCTGAAATGGGATATCTCTGTACTTTATCAGAATATGTTGGGTATTTAAAACAGATAAGACCTCTCATTGACTGTATCCTGGTTTTGTTGAAGAAAATGGTTCCATTACCTATGGAACATTAACTGAAGCAGATTTGGATCTACAAGAGATGCAAACTGATATTTCTGAGCTCTTCTACTGGAGTTTTCCTTTTTAATTTGACACCACGGAAGCCAGTTTCATCAAGCCTGTTATTTAAGGCAGAGTTGAGGGGGATTTAATTGCTTCATGTAATGCTTTCTTGTAACTGTTTTACCTTGGCTATTTCCAAGATTACTTCTGTGGTATAAAGGATTGACTAAATTCTCGCAGTTAATTCATTTACCAGAAGAGTCCCATATAAAGCTCTTTTACAACAGTGAGAAGAAAGAAATTCTTGGAGATTTAAAGAAATAAAAGATGTTAATATTCATGTGCAGAAAACTGTTAGAAGTTACAACAGCTTACAGCGGTTCACCTTCAAAGGGCCATCATCTCTTAAATCTGAGGTCTGCTGGAAGAATGAGTAAATTTTTGTGTGAGCGTAAGTTGTTTAAACAGCGATTGCTGTCATATTTTTGGGTGGCTCATTTATGTAGCTTGTGGGACATTTCTGGAAGTTACTACAGACAAAGCAGTTGATAAATTGGAAAAAAACCTGTTTGTCCAAAACTGCATTAAATTAAACTTAACTTAAAATCTTTGCATTTCTAACACATGTTGCAAAATGATGAGAAAAGATGATAGTTGGATCGACCACAAAATGTAATCACATCACTGGCTCATGGCTTGCAGTTCAAGACTAAAGTGTAATGACTAAAGTGTAGATTATTAGATATTGTTCCCCTCCACAAAACTACTTTATTGTTTGATATGTTGAAATGCAGATGGACTCTCTAGACATTAGGAAAAATAGCCTTAGTTTGTAAAGTCATGAACAGTGACAGACTCCATCAGCAATGCACTGGGCATTTTGTAAGGGGTGCTTTACAAATACACTGTCTCAGACACTTTTCACAGGGCCAAAACTGCATATTCCTCTGTAAAAGATGTTTAATAATCAGGCAGAAAAAATGAAGTCAAATGACCAACACAGGATGGAGGAAAGGTAAACTGTATTTTGTCTTCCTTGTGTTAGAAGAACTGTTTGTAGGAAGATGAGATGCAGGCTCTGGGATGCTGTTGTGCTTCAGAGCTTCCTTTCCTCTTTAGCTTCAAGATGTAGAAGGTTTGAGTTAAATCTTCTCCTTAGAGGACTTATATATTCACCTGTGTGAATCCTTCTTTGGGAAGAAAGCAGAATACAGAAAGAATTCTGCTGATTTTTGGTTCCCACCCTTCCAGGACACCCACTCACTCATCTGTTTTGGGGAATTTGCAATAAAGTCTAAGACACCTTCACTTGATTCTGAGAAAGACATTGGGAAAACAGCCTACTCCTGTTTCATTTCTTTTCCCAGTGAGGTAAAAACAATTATAATGACTTGTTTCTATCATAGAGTAATATAGAAAGAAATGTGTATTTCTCTGTCTCTGACCCCCTCTTCATTGCTTCATTTGGAGCTTAACTATAAAATAGGAAGTCACAGAAAATTTTTTCTCCAGGAATGTGTGCCAGGTAGTTCATGGTGCAGATTTAGTGTTTGAGTACATCTGTTATGGGTGACGTGCTGCACAGCCTGGAGTTGGACAGGAATGTGAATAAACAGTTACATAGACCAGTTTTATTCTGTGTATGTACGAAGTATCTTCTCAGTGGATATTAAAGATCTCCCCAGGAAAGGGAAGTAGCATGCAAGTAACATGTCACGCTTAGATAGCATTGTTGTGACAAGTGGATTCCAATTCAGCAATATGCTGTACCCCTTCTTGGAATTACTTCCAGTTAGCTGCAATAGAAGGAGTAACATGAAAGATCAGTGAAGCTGTAAGGAAGAAATCTGGTGATTAAATCTGACATATCAGTGCACGCTCTCCAGAGAAGAAAAGGCTTGCTTTGGTTCTGCTGAATTTGAGGAGCAGAGCAGGGCAGGGTTCCAGTTCCTGAACATGGCTGGAGCTAGAGCTGTGGGTCAGGCTGCTGGGGAGAAGAGGGCTGGCACGTGGCTTGTCCCTGCCTTCCTGGCCTGTGGTCCCTGCCTTCCTGGCCTGTGGTCCCTGCCTTCCTGGCCTGCCACCCTGGTCTGTGAGAAGCCAGAGCCAAGTCTGACAGAGCTCTGCTGGGCGTCACTTCTGGCCTTGTGCTCTCCTTTCCTCCCCCACCGCTGCCACCTCCGACTCTCCCAGCATTCACGGGAAAACAGTGTGAAACAATGCCTTTCTGTGCTCGGGCTGATAAAATAGCCATTTCTTAACCAACTGCTGTAAAAAGGGACCCTCCCTGCTCTTCCTGGGTGGTGGAGAGATGCAGCTTTATCTGGGAAATTAATCTGGAGCAGAGACGGGTTGGCGCTTCTCTGGCTACCACCCTTCTGTTGGCAGCAAGCAGAGGCACGGCTTTGTTCCGTCTGCCTGACCCTCTGTCCCAGTGCTCCACATCCAGCCTGCCCTGTGTCACTTGGGTGCCAGCCTGTCCTGTGCCTTGAGAACCTTGGTCTTTCCCATGTCACTGCCGTGGCAGCCTGTCCCATGCCTGGGAACTGCCCTGTGCAGGCAGAGCTGCTGGGACAGGCTGGTCCCACCTTCCCCCTCCACAGCAGGGGTAGAAAACACAATGGTGAGGGCCAAAAATCACAATTTTTGTCATGGCAATGCTGGTGTCCCTGATAGAGCCTGGCCTTGCACAGCCTGAGGAAAGCATTTTTTTCCTCCCTCTGTGAGCAGAGTCTGCTCCAGCCCTTCATAAGGAAGTTGGAGGCAAAGGGGTCCACTGCAGATCCTGTCTGTGCTCCTCTGGGACTTTGTGGTGACAGAACTGGGCCACCAGCCCTCCAGCCACCTCAGCCCAGGTTACAGCCCCACCACCAGGCCATCTGCAGCCCTCCCTGCCCATGCTGGAATGTGCTGCCTCCCACCACCTTCACTATGACAACCTCCAAAAATCAGGTTGTTTTATTTAATGCCTAAAAGACACCTTTCAGGCACCTGTTTTTGACATTTTGTTTGATGCTAATGGCCATAGCAAGTCTGGGTGTTACAGTGAAATTATTACAGGAAAAATCTGCCTGGTTTCTAACAGAGTAACTCCAGAGCACATGTAGATTCTTCACATTCTTAATGCTTTTACCATATGAAAAATAATGTGTTCAGTGCAATTGATTCCAGTATTTCATTCGTTTTTCATCATCTCCTATCTTGGAACTTCCCTCTCTCTCTTAACAACATACTTTCCTAGATTTCATGGCAAAGGACAAGATCAGCTTTGTGTTGCCATAATATCTTTTGAAGCAGAAAATTGTTTCCAGATTATCTAATGTGGGATAAAAAACCCATCATATTTATGGATTGGTAAAACAGATAGACTTCCAGTTGAGTTTAGTTCCAGGAAGGTTTTGTGATGATTATCTGGGGAAAAAAAAGTTTTCATTATTAAGTGTCAAAAATGCTGCATTAAAGTTTGTTAAAGTATATTTATCCCTGGGTTTTAGTACTTGTTTTTGTTCCAAAGGTTAGTGTGGCCTGCACCAGTTTCTTATTTTAAAACTTGTAATAGTGGAAATTCCATAACGTATTTCTTGGTTTGAAATTAATTAAGTCAGATTCACTAGTCTTCTCATCACCCTTCAAATACCTTTCAACATGAGGACAGAAAAGTAAGATGCGTGCACTGCATTAAATCGCAGTAAGAACATGTCTGCTGGCCTGGGAACTGACTGGGCACTCTCTTCTTCCCTGTTTGTATCTGTTACCATCTCATTACTTGTTTTGCTGCCCTGTTTTCTCAACCTCTGGGTGTCTCTGAGTCTCTCCTGGCTATGGTACCTGTGTGCTGTCTCAGGAAACCTCATTCATTCCCTGAATGTGAATGAAATAATTAGCCTGGATAACCTGTCCAGTTGCAGGCAGGGCTGGTTACTTGCTTTTTGTCATGTCAGCTTGCTTTTGGCTGTTATTGGTACCTACATTTGAGTTTATGTGACTTATTGATTGATGCTATTGCTTTGGCCACCAAACTGCAACTGCAGCTGGGCCAGAGTTTGGCTGCTCCCATGTGCACAGAATGCTGCTGTGGTGATGGATGGGCTGTGCAGCATGCTGAGTCTGTGTCTGTGTCTGTGTGTCCCATCTTCTCTCATCATGCGCTGCTGCTGGTCTTAACCACTTGCTTTTTGACAAGTTTTTTTCCCAGCCATCTTCCAAAACCACAGCCTGCTGTTAGAATTTCCTCCTGCAAGTTTCCCCACACACTTGACTGCTGTAATAGAGGGATGCCTTTTCAGAAGGTGCCATACTGATGTGTGTCTCTGTTGTGGTGTGTCACTAACATACTGGCATGTATAAGTAGGCACCTGTGTGAGCAAAAGGCTGGTTTGGAGCCGACTGAGGAAGTCCCCTGGTACCTGACAAATATATGGATTTATGCAAACAGATAAACACACAAATGTTAGCCTTTGCATCAAAAAAAAAGTTACTGTTCTTGTTTAGTGACCTTTGGATCCTATGGAAAACATTGCTTATACTTACTGTAGTTCTGCATCTCTTCTGCTTTTTGGGAATTTCTCAGGATATGTGAATGAAAGAAAATCTGTTTTACTGTAATGTTACTGTACAGTCTTCATTTGGTGTCCTGTGCCTCTCTGTCACATTTCTGTCCTTTTCAAAGCAGACAGTTGTGATGTCAGGTGTAAAGGATTTGGACTGGAAAGTCATCAGCTTGGGCAGATTAAATGCTTCCCAGACAAAAATCCTGGGTCTGGGGAAGGTAAAAATAGTGACAAGAAGAAGTGTAAAGTCTTTAATCCTGAAACCTTAAGTACCAATAAAAAGTTTAGCCCAGTGTAGGTAAAAGAGAAAATGAATGTAATGCTGCAAAAGACTTTTTCACTAGTTCCAAGTGGCATTAACAAATTGTTTTAGGTGCCTGTTTTGTGAGGTAATTTGAAGTTTATTACTTGGTTGTTTGTTTTGTTCTTTTTAACTAAGCAGATTTTTTTAAATTGTCTGTTACAACACAAAAGCTGTCCAAACTGAGATGTGGTAAGCTGCTGCAATAAGGTATATGCAAACTGTACCCAAAGGCCTTTGCACAAACTCTGTAGTGTCTTTCCAATCCTGTGGTAATCGTTTACCTAGAAAAACAAGTCTGAAAGCAAATATATCTGGCTTTAACAAACGGTTCTCTTGTCTTACAGAGAGAGGATACAAGCCATGGAGAAACAGATTGCCAGTTTAACTGGTCTTGTTCAGTCTGCGCTTTTTAAAGGGCCAAATACAAGTAATAGCAAAGATTCTTCTAGGTAAAAACAGAATTCATCTGTAATGATTTTAGTAATCAATCAACAAAAATATATTTGAATGTAATAGTAAAAAAAAAATCCTGAATGCTCAATCATTTTTAAGTTTCTTTATCATCTCCATGAGAATGCTAGGCAGAGAGGAAGAATATGCCAAATGATAGATGGATATTAACTACATTACTCTTCTTTGTAATAAAAAGAATGTAGCTACATCTCTGTGCTTTCTACTGCTTATAATCCATTCATTGTTTAACTTCTACTAAAAGGTGATTTAAAAAAAATTACTGATGACTGACAAATTACTGGTGATTTAAGTTAAAAATCAATATGTTAGACAAGGTCATTAAATTTGTTGAATATAAACTTCACTATAGTTTTAATAGTTAGTAAACTAAAATTACATTTTTTTGTTATTATTTAGTGAGAAGATGATGAAAATTGTGTCCAGCAAGAGCAGCACTGACACTGCAGGTAAGATAATTCACTTTTAATTTGCAACTTATTCAGGTATATGAATAGCTCTCACATTACAAACATCCCAGCTTATGGAAATGTCAAATTGACTTAAATTTCCATGACTGTACTGTCAGAACTAAAGTTTAAGTGCAGGATATGGGAGTCGATCACATCTTTAAGAGAGGAATTTCTGACAGGTTGAGATGGTATTTGGAATGAATTTCCCACCTGCGCTGAATGGTTTAAATGAGATGCAGAGCCTCTGCATCTGGTGAATTTTCCAGTGACTCATCCTGTCTATACAGTGTGTATATATCTGTTATTAACCCTAGATGTGTCCAGATTGCTATAGAAGACTAAATATTTAATTCCTTTTCTTGTCACCTGAACTTTTTCTAAGGTCTTCTGTCACTAGGATACTACGGATGTAATGACACCAAGAAATTTAGCAGTCAGCAAGACAGCACTTTCCCTAATTAAGCCACATTGACCTGTTCCTAATTATTAGCGTGCACCTAAACTGTTCTGAGCCAGCACCAATTATGAAGGCAGTAAGAGCCGGTCTTGTTTTAGCATCCCACCTGGAGAGCTGTTAAGTGTGTAAAAGATTGAGTCCGGTCTTGTTTTAGCATCCCACCTGGAGAGCTGTTAAGTGTGTAAAAGATTGAGTTAAAACTGTTGACAAAGAAGATTTCCATGTGGTTGAAACTCTTTGTGTACAGGCTGTTGCTGGAGAAGTCCGCAGGATATTCGTGTGCTTATGTGCCTCCTCTTCCCCTTTGTCATGCACTGAATGCAAATACAGGCAGTTCCCTGCTTCCTGCTTGTGCTGTTCCCACAGGGAGGTCTGTGCCCGGCAGGTAGTAAACCACGCATATTTATTAGCAAACCTATTATGCTCCTAAGTAGCCTTTCTGTTGGAGCTGTTAGCTCACGTTCAGGATTCCTGTTTGTCTGGAATTGCACTATGTCCTCCTAATTGACAGAAACCAAACTAGACCTGGAAAGTATCTACCACGTGGAAGAGAGAAAGCTAAAGTCCTGGTACTGAAGCTTTGCTCCCAGGCCACTCTCTGGTGCTGTTCCAACTCTTCCTTTCCTGAATGGGGAGAGGAATACTTAAAGCTTTGAAGAAATAAGTTGTAATTTTTCAGACAATATAGTGAAAAGTCTGTCATTATTCAAAACAGCTGCAAAATGCTCTTCAGTTTTTCCCTATTGCAGTGTCCTTATAGACTGAGAATTTATGGCATTTCCCACTTGCACAGGCCTCACCTCATATAAAGCACTTATGAAAGCATCACAACCAGCACATACAGTGCCTTGTGTTCCTCTTTGTATTGCATTGCAACAGCAGCCTCTCTGCTTTCCCTCTGATGGAACCAGTGCACACAAGTACTTGGTGGGGGACACTCAGTCGGAGGATCTAAGTGGGTGCTGCTTTGAGTGGGAGTTTGGGCCTCCAGAGGTCCCTTTAAACCTGAATTATGTAGTGGTTTGTGTGTGCATGTATAAATGTGCACTCAAATGAGAAATGGAACAGTATTCATTGGGAAAACAACCTTACATAAAGCAAAAGTGAAGATTCCCTGGGAAGTCATGCCCAGCCCACCAGAACAGTGCGGTTCATCAGACCAGCAGCCATTTCCTGGCACTGTTTTTCCCAAATACTTCTCACTCACTGCCTTCTCATGTGACTGACACATCCCTGAAAGGTTAATATTGCATCTAACAGCTGCATGTGCAACCATGGTGGGGGAGATGGAGGGTGGGGACTTAATTTACTGTCACAGGCCAGATCATCGTCTGTCACTTACTGACAGAGACATTGGCTTTGCCACATGGCCATGTGCCTGTCCAGCATATGAGTAAGGATTCCAGCACTCAGCTTATGCTCTAGATGCCTTTCTCATCACTTGGGAGAAGGGGATAGGACAGTGGGAACAGCGATGCAGCCAGCAGTCTGCAAGGATCTCTAGCAGTGCTATAAAGTATAGTTGTAACTCCAGCACCTCCATCCCTATATCCTGTCCTTCCAGCATGACTCAGGCACAAAATTAAATTGTAGCAGGTAAGGAAAACAAGGTGTGATGACCCCAGTACACTACTGTATTGTAACCCACAACAGCTATTACTGAAGACTGCTGTGTAAAAGAATAGTCTTGTATAAAGGAATATTTTCCTGCTTTTGTGCCTGGAATTGCTCAGGACATGGTCCAATGAGTCAGTGCAGTTTGGCTTACTTGAAAATAAGGCAATCTGCCAGAATATACTACAGAATGTTTCTCCTTTTTGTAAATATGCTTGGGTTCAAACATGCCAGCAGAAGCTAGAGACACTTCTGCTGACCACTGTTTTATTCTTCAGTTCACCCCAATCTTTATTACATATAGTCATTTAGTCAGTGACTCTCTCACTTTACAATTCCACTTGACAACTGTGCACCGAGATACCAGTTTTAGCAATTTCAGAGACTATTTGAAAGACAAAGGGGTATAAAATGTTGATTGAACATTCCTTTCTAGAGCTCTGATAAGCAAAAATGTGAATTGCTTCCCATTCTAAAAAATAAAACATCTGTGAAAAATAATATTGTGTCATCAATGTTGAACCAACATTGTATTTTATAGTATGTCTTCCAATGATAGGAGACTTGTGCAAAAAATAGACTATATCCCTTGGGATGGGAAGGAAACCAAAATTTCTAAACCCTAGATAACTCTATATAGCTAGTTTGTGAATACTCTGTTTGGTATGTCATATGAACCAAATTGTTGTATTTAACTTGCTTTTGCTGTGGTGGTCTGTAGAAGCCAGTGACTTCTTTAGCCCCCAATATTAAGGAATCTGAAGAAACCCAGCTTTTTCACTGAGGAAGATGAGTCTGGAATGACAATGCTTGTCTGCATTTCTTATCTTTTATTGCTTTAGGCTCAGTTCTTTCATGGGGGATGGGTCCAAAGAGCAGTAACCCTCCACAGACTAGCTATGTCTCTTCTGCTCATGTCAGGAGAAATTCCATCTCTGAATCCTTATAAAGATCTTCAGTTCCTGAGACACAAATGCCATCAAGAAATTCTTCACTTAGAAACAACACATGATTCTAAAACCATACTAGTAAGAGTCACCATGAGATTACTAACAAATACCCTGAGAAATACACACTCTCTTTTCTGTCATATTTTTGTTCATCAGCTGGAGATTGATAGTCTAAATCCTGGATTCATTTATTAAATTAGGATCAGCTGTTTCATGGATTACCAAAAAAAGCAATATCTTTTTACTAGTTGCTGCCTTGTTAAAAGAGGATGTAAGACTTTTCAGTATTCCATGAGAAGGGCATCAGGGAGTACAATTTTCTGCACTAACACCACCTATACAAAACAAGAGGGAGATGGCAGCAGGGGGAAGTCTTACAAATGTAGGACTCAGATTCTTTGTGAATTGTCTTGTCATCTGTGCATATCTGTGTGCCCTTCTCACATGCATGACTCTTGCTGTGATGTCCTCTGAATTAAATATTGTCCATATCTGCTTGCTTATCTCAGATTCAAAGACAGATCTTGCTAGTCTTAGAACTCTGTCAGCATTTGTAGACAAAATATAATCCTGAATTAAATTTGGATCAATGAGGTGAAGTTGCATACTAATGTATATATAGAATAGTTTATTATTTTGAGGCTGATTTAGTGCCATCTAGTAACTGTCACATCTCTCCAAATAATGTTTGAAAATATTTTATCTCTTTAATTAGATTAGTTATTTGTGGGGGAAAAAAGCCAAACAAACAAACAAAAAAAACCCATTGTGGAGTGTCTTCTGATGGCCTTTTGTGCCAACTGCTTCAAAATAAAATCTTAGCATTTTAGAAAGAAAAAAAATCTGGAAAACAGAAGGAGAGCAGTGTCTTTTCAGCCATAGCAAAGGTCAAGTGTCAGGGAGTAGAAGTCGTGTTCCTTATCCCCTGAGGACACAGCAAACCTTTCCTCTTTCTACACTTCAGTTCTCTTTGTACTCTAAAATGGCAGCTTAGTTCATTAGCCTTTGTAAAAAGTTAACTTTTTTTATTTGTCCAAAGTGTTGGGAACTTATGGTGGGAGGTTGAATTTCCCTTACCTAGCTCAAGAAGGGGTTTCTTTAAAAACCCAAGAGCCAGTGCTGTTTCTTTCCCTTTAACCCATCTGGCCTCACATCTAATCACAAAGCTACAGCCTGGGACTACTTCCAACAGTGAGCTACACTCCCTAGATGAAGCAGCCCCTCATTCAGCTGCCTTTTTATTCTTTCTTAATGAAAATATGAATATGTGAGAAATCAGCTGCTGATTGTTATTGCTCACGCAGTGTCTTGTGTTTCACACCCTCTGGAGTCTGCAGTCCCACTGCAGGTTTCCCAGGCCCTGGGCACTCTGCAGCAGGGACATTGTGGCAGCCAGAGCACCTAATGGTGAAAAGAGGTGACTGAGGCAGCAGCGAGGAGGAGAGCTGCTTTGTAGGGAATTAGAGACATTTATTGCTTACAGAAGCAGATCACAGTCCATCTACACTAAAAGAAAAGCAGGCACCCCTTCCTGAGAAAATATGTGAGTTGACTGGGGTCCAGCATGGGGGGAGGGACTGGTGGGGTCTGATTCATGCCTTGGCAGCCTCATCACAGGGTCAGGGGCTGAGGTTTTGGAACTTTTGCTTGAGGCAAAGAACAGCAGAAAGGTAGGTGTGCTTTCAAAAATAGTCCAGATTTGTGGCTAGGGATCAGAACTCTTGGAGGTTTATCCACATTTTTCAGACTCTCTGGTGGTTTCTGTCTGTAAGGTTTATGAACTAAATACCATTCTCTTAAACAAAAAAGGCAAAAAATAGTGCCTGTGGGAGGGAAATAGATGCTTGACTGTAGGAGAAAGTGCAGTGTACATGTAGACAGATAAGTATTAGCATACATTAGACTGAAGCATGGAGTGGGTACATAATGGCAACGAACAAGGACTGTTTATTTCTTGAGTGTTGCTTTCTGTTAAGGAGCTCTTTGAAAGTCAAGAGACCATTGAATCATACTGGAGTACAGCAAAAATGTGCAGCAGCTTGCTCAGCAGTGTAATGATGAGTGCTGTTGTTGAAGCACCAAGCAGATCTAGCTGGAGCAGGTTCAGGGACAGTGTAGCATTACAACAGCCTGCCCCAAGCTAGAGGAGCTTTTGTCTGAGCATGTCTCCAGAAGCCCATGGCATGGCACACTGTATGTAGCATGGATCCTGCCAGAGGGGCCTGTGCTTTTGTGGAGCAGAATTGCAAATGAAGGTAAAGTAGCAAACATGATTCTTAAAAACCTTTTTTAAAAAATAAAAATAGGCTGGTGTGATTTCCATCCTTTAAGAATGCTTCCTCTAGATTAATTTTGCAAAGGTTGTATTTGAGGTATCCACACCTGTTGGAAAAGGACTAACAGTGTGTTGTTATGCTGAGCTCTACTGAGGACATTTGGAGGAATAGTTCAAAAGACTACAAGGGATGAGAGCATGGGGGGAGAACTTCCCACTCTAGGAGTCATACCCATTCCAGGCAGAAGGTGTGTCATGCACTTCAGTGCACTGAAAATTTTCCTTCAGCCCGCAAAGCTCACAACACTGGTTTTTGTTTGATTTCATTAAGCTTGATAGAATGTGTGCTTGTGGGAACAGATGATGACCAAAATCCCTGCTCATCCATTGATGAGCTGTTTTCTGTTTCTTCAGATTTCTTTTGTTTAATCATAGAGAAGAATGAAATTGAAGTAGGGAATGACCTAATCATAGAATAGAATAATGGAATTATTTAGGTTGGAAAAGACCTTCCAGATCATCCAGTCAAGCCATTAACCTAACACTGCCAAGTCCACCCCTGGCCAGGTCCCTAAGTACCATACCTACATATCTTTTAAATACCTTCAGGGATGGTGACTCAACCACTTCCCTGGGCAGCCTCTTCCAATACTTGATGACTCTTTTGGTGAAGAAATTTTTCTTAATATTAAATGTCCCTGGCTGTAAATGGCCCCTGGCTGGCCATTTCTTTTTGTCCTGTTTTTTGTTACCTGGGAGAAGAGAACAACTCCCACCTCCTCCCAACCCCCTTTCAGGCAGCTGTAGAGAGCAACAAGGACCTTGAGACTCCTTTTCTCCAGACTAACACCCCCAGCTCCCTCAGCTGTTACTCATCAGACTTGTGCTCCAGATCCTTCACCAGTTTTGTTGCCCTTCTCTGGATATGCTCCAGGATCTCAATGTCTTTCTTGTAGTGAGAGGCTGTAGTTCAGGGAACAACAGCTAAGGTATAAGGTGTATTTGGCAGTGTGATGAGAAGAGTTTGCAGGACTATGTAGTACTGAACTTAAAAAATGAAGTTTGTCATACTGATAGTCTGTCATTTTGTCTGCTGGGGGAGTGGGGGTAGGGGGGAAGGGACACGTTAGAAAAAGAATTTGAAGAATACAGGTGTGTAAGTGCAAATTGTGAGAAGGAGCTGACATTTCTATTAGCTCATGAGCTGGAATTTGCTTGTTCTCTCTAAATAGAGCTTCTTCCCAGGTACTTGAGACTGAAAAGAACAACCGTGGCATTGTTCCTGTGCAGAGGGATAGCATTCTTTAAAAAAGAAAGTTTTATGAGGACAATAATCATTATTTTCAGAATGTGGCTCAGTTCATTTCCTTGTGTTATGCTGTATTCCTTTCTGACAGACTAAAAGGGAGTGGGTGGATGCAACATGGCTGAGAACCTCTGCCACAACATCATTTAATTTCTCTGGTTTTATAGGGTTGCTGCTGGAGATACCTGGTAGAAATAATGCAATTTTCCTTTAAGCAGTGCAATAAGATTTTTTATAGAAATCTTTTCCCCATATTTGGCAGCTTGATGGAATCCATCTCCTGACATGATTAATCAACAAATATGTAGTTCAGGAGTCCTATGAGTGAATTTGCATCAACTTGATCTCAGACATCTCCTGGGAGGACAGTCCCAAAGTTCTTTTCAGAACCAATTTGATTTGTTGCTGTTTTGTGTAATCTGCAGTTATAGCTTATTATCCCATCTCCACTACATGTGGTAGAAAGCAGTTCTGGAGTAATGCAGTGCTCTGGTAGAACTAAGGTTCCAGCACAGATACACTCTGATACTGTGCAGGCTTCCCTCAAAATATATTGGATAAGGAGGTGCCAGTCCCCTGTTAGTACTGAGCGTTGGCATCTGTTATTTGCTTTTCTCATCCATCTGTGTGAGATACCTGTGGATTCAGTGGGCAGAGGAGGGATCACGTTTGCACCTTCTCTGCTGTGAACTCAGCCTGTACTGCTGCTTATTGCAGGTGCTGCCAGTATATCTGGGGGGAAGAATGCAGTGGGAGCTGTGGAGTCAGCTGTCACCCACCACCCCGCTGGAGCCCCAGCAATGCACCTCAGCCTGCATGGCATGAAACGCAACGTGTCGGACCTGCGGCTGCAGCTGCATCAGATGAAGCAGCTACAGGTATGCTTATCTGGATAATGCTGGGAAAAAAGGTGGGTTGTCAGCAAATGCCTTTTTTCCTCCTTCCTCCTCTCTCGTTTTCTCTCTTCTACCTTTTGTACAAGTAAGTCTCAGTAGCAGAGTTCTAGCAAAGGGCAGACCCAACTACTACAGACACAAAAGTTTGCATAGTCCTCAGGGTGTGAGAATTAGCTCAGTTAAACTACTGCTGCTCAGATATTGTGAAAAAAATTTCATTTCTAGCTTTGTTGGATACCCTATACATTAAAGCACTATTTATATTGCAGTAATATCAAGTCTGTGATTATAGTTTGGACCCTGCTATGCTATGTGCTATATAAACATGTCAGAAGAACCATGTTCCTGCTTCATACTGTTTATAGTTGAGATGAATCTTAAGTTCCTGAATAAACAACTTTGATGTCAGGAAACCCAAATGTAGCTGAAGATCAGTAGATATGTATTAAGCCAGAGTTTGAGTCCTGTATTTACAGAATCCAGAAAATTAGCCAACTTGAACAATAAGAAAAATAAAGGTCTTTCAAATGTTACTGCAAAGATTTGTTGTGTCCTACTTACACTCAGCAATACCTTCCTAATACATGTCAACACCTCAAAACCTGCAAGAAAGAATACAACCAATGAAGAGTTAACAAAAATAGTATGTTGGCACATGCAGTCATGCTGCAAATATAAATACATTCTGTTCATCTCAGACACTGTAAAAATAAGCATATGCAGCTGTACAGGTCTTCAGCCTTTTACTTAACTGGAAATTGAAGAGCACTGTGTATTGTCCCAGATGATGGAAAAGAAGGCAGAGCACTTTCTTGTAAGACAAATTGGACAGTTGGAGAAGTTTCAGTATTCTTTTTGCCAGTCCTCCTTAGCCAGAAAGTGACATCACATGTTAGGTATTGTAGGACTGCAGCTACTGGTTTTACAACCAGGATGATGGTACCATGTCAATCACGTTTGATTTGCTGATAAATTTTAGAACAAAATAATGATAATACAGATAAGAGTTCAGAGCATGTTTTACTTTCACCTCCTTATCTAAAGAAAATTAAATTATGAACCAGTCATAAAGCAAAGGAGCAGAAGGGTGAAGTAAACATCAGTATAGGAAAATATGTCCAACTGAAGGTCCTATGACAACTTCCTGTGCTCTGTTTGCTGGGAATGCAGAGACAGAGATGGCAGAAGATGTTTGGAGCAAAGAGTTGTGTCAGGTGACTTCTGCCTGTGATACAGCTCCCATGTATTTAAATTTTCGGTTTAGGATGAGTATGCTCCAACAGCAAATGTCCCTTTCAAAAGCTATTCTCAGCAGTGCTGCCTACGTGCCAGCCATCGTGTTCCTCGTCTGATTTGAAGACACTGGCATTTGATCTCTGTCCTGGCACATTATGTATAAGTGCATATTTTTCCACATTTGTGCTGCAAACCACTGCAGACCCTCTGTCCTTCTCTGCACCATGTGCCAAATGCAGCTCTTGGCAAATGCCTTCAGTCTGGCCCCCAGCTGTGCTCAGCATGTGGCCCTGGAAAGTGGCTGGAGTCTGCAGTGCTGCTTGGAGGCAGGGAGTCCATCCTTCTCATAGGGCTGCCCACCAAGGAGGTGGCATTTCCCCGGCTCAGCTTTGTCTCTGTGGCCTTGCCCGGGGCAGAAGACGTGACATTGTGGCACACAGGAGTGAAGAAACTTTTACCATCTGCACAAATCAATGCTGGCAAGGAGGTCTTGAGAAGGGGAAAAGGACATATCCCAAGTGTGCTCATTAACTCTGGCTGGCTTCCTTTAATTCTGAAATTATAGCAAACTTGGTGCATTGAGCTAGTGGGAAGTTGAGAAATGTTGGAAGAACCTGTAGCTCAAGAGAAACTTTGGTATGTTACACATAAATTCCATCGATGAGAGTTTCTGTCATGGCATTCCTGAGCTATTTTGAAAAAAAGCTCCCAGTTTATAGGGCAGCAAGTGAAACAGGCAGTGTTTTAAACTGAAGAGTGTTGCAATATCACATTTTAAATGAAATATGTTGTGCTATGTTTTTTCAAAAATAATTATAAGTAGAAGGGAAAAAGTATTTTTCTGGTTTCGCAGATTGTTTTCATTTCATGTTGACAGTGCTTCCTATTTTTCAATTCCACTGTTTCTCCTGGTCTGGCAGTCAGTTTGTTCCTGTTTGTGTGAATTTTTTATACAGTGACAGACTAGAAGAAACACTTCAAAAAATGAAAAAGATTGCACAGGCGCAAAATTTGGCAGGGTAAATAAAAAACAGGAACAGAACATAAACTATGTTTAATATTGTCTATTGTTTAATTTTCAATTGATGTTACCACCATAAGTTCATATTAATTTTCTTAATAGAATCAGAGAAATACATGATAGAAAAGACCCATTCATTTGTGTATCCTTTGTTTGTGCTGGCAAAATCTTCTTTTTAAACCATATCCAGCAGCAATGGATCCAAATGTATTTATTCACACACCAGATAAACATATAATGTAAGATGCCACCAAAAACTTAAGATGTGGTTGGATTTTGAACAGGGATTCTTGGCACATAGACATTTACCTTATGGCTGTTGCTAGAGGCTGTGTACACCTCTTGCATGTTCTAAGTGCTCTGATTTTCAGAGACATTCAGGACAGAGTAGCTTCATGGTGCTGTGGAGTTTTCCTCAATGCCACAGATGGGCTGTAACCCAGCCTTTGTCCTGAGTGGGTTTGTCACTGGTAAGAATTGAGCCCATGATGATTTTAGTGGGGTTGTTCATTCTATGCACCCAGGTATTGAGAACTCTTAGTAGTAGGTTTGAACCAAGCCTTGGAGTACATGTATATGGTTTATATCATTAGGTTATATGTGCACTGGATTTTTTTTTTTTTTTTTTTTTTTTTTTTTTTTTTTTTTTTTTTTTTTTTTTTTTTTTTTTTTTTTTTTTTTTTTTTTTTTTTTTTTTTTTTTTGTCTATTCCTTCTTTTCTTTAATTGAACTCACTTTAAGGGAACACAGTTCCCCACTAGGAAGGTGCATGCATGCATCCTTTTCCTTCTCTCAGGGCACTGTTTGCAGGGAAGTGAGTGCTGCAGAAAGGACAGAAACTGTAATAACAACACTGTCATAAAGGTATATGATCCTCAGTTTCACAAGTGTAACTTTGACTCAGAATACAAATATATTCTGAGCTGCATTATAGAACTGGAGAGGCTAGCTTTAATCAATGGATGGTACCAAACTTCAGGAACGAGGTACTTAGATTCTACAGAGGGCTGAGCTGCAGGCAGCCAGCTCCTGTTTGTAGCTGTGCACTGGAGTTCAAGGGGAGGTGGGAAGCTCCCACAGGGCGGGTCACACTCATCTCCTTATGAGGAGAAGGGTTGTGAACTAATACTTGGTTTTCTAGTTACCTGTCTCATAGATAGTAATTGGTTCAAAGTGAACTGAACTAGCTCTCAGATTATTCTTGGAGTGAGTACCAGAGGCAGGGCTGGGGTACTTGTGTGAGAGTGACCAGTAATGGCTGAAGCACAAGATGAAGAAGAGAGGTTAAGGAAGGTATCTGGAGAGATTGATGAGGCTGAAAATGAGAACCAAGGGTAAGGGGTGTATGAAAGGATGCTAGAATTCTAAAAAAACATGTTAAATTTGTTTCTGTTTGATTGCTTCTTGCAGAAACAAGGTAAGGTAACTCTAATTAGCAAATTACCATTTGTTGGTGACAGGAAAGCCTGCATTGGTTTTCCTTTTAGCATGTGCCTTTAGAATTTCAGTACTGTTTCAAGAAAGAGTCTTCAAGAATTAATGTTTAAGATTGTTTATTTGGCTTGTTTTCAAGTAAGCTTATAGTATAAAAGGTCCTATTGTGTGGAACCAGAATAACTATGGCAGATCCATAAAATGTCTTGCTTGAGCTGGTGGAGTAACAGAGGTGGTCAGAGGGGCAAGTGGGTGTGCACTTAGACAGGGAGTCTCACATCTGATTCTGCTGGCAGCAGAAAGGTAAGAATGAAGTTCAGTCCCAGAACATGGAGGTAAATGGGAAGGCCAGTGACTTCTCCTGAGCCACAGCTCTTTCCCTGTGCTCCTGCTCTCCTTGCCTCATGCTGTCCTTTGGTTGCTGACTGACACAATTGCTCCCCTCCCACTGTTCTTCCTTTTGTCTCTCTGAACATATATGTACCTCTCCCTTTTTATCTTCTGACCCTGTGCCCCGAGCATGAGTAAACTCAGGTTGTCCATAACTAGCCAATTATTGCATGAATTTTCATAGAAATAGTAAAAACATTTCTTTGATACCAAGATTGAGTCATATCCCAGAATTAAAGAGCTCACTCCAAACACTGAGGTTTGGGAGCCCTCAACATACAAGAGTTTTTGAGATCTTGCTGTGTTACATTTTTATTCCCTATCCTCATTATCAGAAATAGATGAACTTTTGTGACTGAAACTTCCTGGTATTGTTCAAGCACTTCATAAATGGAGGCTACAAACACCTTAGCTGTACACATCACCACAATAAATATAGCTCCTCTACATACCCCCATAATAGGAAAAAATATGTGCCTGCCATTTCACAACCTCACACACTCACACATAATCAGTTTTGCTATTAGTGGAAGTCCCTATTACCAGCTGAGGAACATCAAGGACTTAAATTCTGGACACCTGAGACTTAAGTCTAACTCTGTTACTGACCTTCTCACTGAACTCGGATCAGTTGTTTCACAGATCCTAACTGACTTCCATGTGTCAAATTTCCACACTTTTTAAAGAGCTGGGAATAAATTGTATGCCTGAAGTGTCACATGCTCATTCACTTATTTATTCATTCATTTAGGTTTTCCTGCTTGAAGATATGACACAGTGAAAGAAGTGTGTATCTCAGTTGTGCTGGCCTTGCAGCAAGAGATTTTAATTTATCAAATCCAAACATTATTCCCATAATGGGGAAAATACACATTGTCTTCAAAATAATCTAGATTTTATTTATATCGTTCTGTGCTGTTAAAATGTTTTTCAGCTTCATAGTTTCACTAACTGCTCACATTTCTCTTCAGCTGAATTTTGAGTTAACTGCTGCTTGTCACAGTGCAGATTTCACACACACACACACAACCCCTGCAGTGAGGTGTTACCCTCCCTCTCGTCGAAGCTGTGTAGCTGGAGAAGAGAGTAAGAGAGTCAGGCATAGGGACTGAACAGTCATAAATGAGGAACTGAGTTTGTTTCTCTCATGCCCATACTGGTTGGAAAGAATTGTCTCAGCAAAGGCACTTTTTTTTATTCTCATGAATTTTCTTAAATGGATTTTAAAGAAGGCTTACTGCTACTGTGTTGTAGGTATCCCATTTTTATGATTCTTCCTGTTAGATCATGGATTTATTTTGTGTGTTAAATGTGATTTGGCTGTTAAGCCTGGATGTTTAGAAGAACCTGACAGTTCAAGTGCTAGTTTTAAAATGGGAATTTTGTCCCCAGTTAACACGGGTGTTTTTTAAAATCTTACAGTATGAAATGGCTCCTGGGCTAACAGAGTTGTGTTCATGTTTCCTGTGTCCTAAAACTATGACTAGGTAGAGTCCTGCTTATCTCTTTGAATCTTGTGATTTGCATAACAGACTTAAACAGGTTTGGTTTGTGAGCATGGCTGGTAGCTGCTCCAGGGCTACCCCCAGAAGGGTACAGCCTAGTTTGCCCTCTTACTTCTGTTTTCTCTGTGAGCTTACTATCAGCAAGACAATTAATGCTTGAGTTACTTGTCAGGCTAAGACAAGAAACAAGGTATGACTTGAAGTTCTCAGAAAGTTGCTGTCAAAGTGTGTGTGTTTGTGTGTGTGTGTGTGGGGGGGGGGGGGGGGGGTTTTGTGTTTGTGTGTGTGTGTGTTTGTGTGTGTGTGTTTGTGTGTGTGTGTTTGTGTGTGTGTGTGTTTGTGTGTCTGTTTGGGGGGGGGGGTGGGGGGAGGTGTTCTGGTTTTTCTGGTGGGTAAAGGAGGTTTTATGTATTGCATGTAAGCTGTATACCTGTACCAAATTACACCACATGTTACAGTCCTTCCTCTGCCACTTGAGAGACTGAAAATCTCCATTCTGAAAACAGCAGTGCATTCCTGCCATGACATTAATGTGTGGGATTATCCACTAGGCACGTATGGGCTGTGAGATGCATAAGCTGGTGAGATACATGGAAGGGGAAGTCAAGCATCCAGCATTCTCATGAGGTGTAATTAATTCTTGATTCATGTTGAACCAAGCAGAATAAAGGGGCCACACTCCTTGCAGAAGTTATGCATTGAAGGTGATATATTGATCCCAACATATTTTGTTTATCAGTTTGAAAATGGACGTTATATATATATGGAATAATGTTTATAGGTACAGCTAAAGAGGGAAAGCAGGTGAAAACACTCACTCGCTGTAGGATGGTGTTTATCCCGACCTTCTGAGATCTGCAATGTATTTTGTTGCCAGGGATGTCAGTGAAGCAGGAAAAACTGAAGTTGATTTCTTTTGTGCAACAGCTGCAGAACCAGGAGATGCTGAGGGCAATGGTGAAGAAAGCAGAGCTAGAAATCAATGGCAAAGTGATCGAAACAGTGAAGAGGCTTGAAGATCCTGTGCAGCGACAGCGCAACCTGGTGGAACAAGAGAGGCAGAAGTACCTCAGCGAGGAAGAAAAGATTGTAAAGAAGTTATGGTGGGTTGAGAAACCTCTTCAAATGTATTGCTTTTACCTGTCTTTTTCTTCCATAAAGTAGAAACTTCTACCACCAGGTAAACTGCATTTGTATATGGTATTTTAGTTGTGTTTCCTTGTCGTGTATCACACTGGCTGTAGAATCATGTCTGTGTTGTTCAACTCACTGGTCCTGACTGGGAGCCCTTCTCTGCACATCCCCTGGGTAAATCCCAGCAATACCAAGAGCTTCTGCCTCTTCAGAAGTCCCCTGTAAAGGGAGAGATGACTGGAATGCCCACCCCTGTATTCTGAAAGCCTCTCTCTACCCTAGTTCTCCCCTTCAGCCTTATGTATTATGCTTTAGGGAAGGGGAGAGGAATTTCCTCAAGAGCAAAGGGATTCAAAAGAAGGTAATAAGTTTGGCTTTAAGTACAAAAATCAGATTTCAATAGTAAGTGCTTTGGCTACTGCATGGGAGAGGTAGGGGAAGCTCAAATAGAGGAGTGAAGTTTAATTACAGCCAGCAATGCCAGTCCTTGTCTAAAATGTAGTCACTGAGGTTTCCATCTGCTTAACTGTGTACCTTGTTTTGTTGTTATGTAAAAGCCCTTTGGAAGATTCTGGCTTTTTTCCCCAGAACTTTGGCCCACCAAGACTGGTGGGATCAAGTTATTTGATTTAGTTCAGAGTCAGCAGGAGCCAAGATAAAGCTGAAATTAATAAACAGTTTAACTAATTCTAACACTCACATTTGTAAGATATTATATAACTAATCATTTCTCATTATTGCATTTCACACCTAAAGATAGTAGAGAAAAAAATTCTAGTCAGCTTATCATTGGAAATTATGACTGAAGAGCTAGAGTACAGTTCCTGACAGCTAAAGAGAGTAAATCCTTCCTGTTGATCAATAAGTTGTCAGATTAATACTTTTTGTAATAAAAAAGGTGTATCTGTAAAGAGAAGGTTGGGTGTTACTAAGGAGAGTCCTGTGAAGAAAGGTTGAATGTGCAGTAATGGTCCATGCTAGAATAATTAATCCTCTCAGCTGATTCATAGTCTTAAGTAATGCCCTTCCTGTTCCTCACTTCACTCCTGTGTACCTCATTGCCAAGTTCCTATATTGTCTGTTCTCTATGGAAAGAGCAATTTGTGTGATGGCTGATTATGGCATTGACTCATAAAATGGATACAGAGTGAGGTCAAGTGCCAATGGCATTCACTGTTACAGCTGTTCATTAAGGATAGGACTTGGATTGCAAAGTGCTTCTGTCTTCCAGGTTTTGGAATTTTTTCTGTTCCCATAGTTTCTGCTACTTCTCTGCTACTTCCTTTGTTAAAGTTACAGGAGAATTTTTTAAATCATTCAAGTGTTACTTCACCTCTTTTAGAGACATGTTAGAAACAAACATTTATTTTTATCACTTGTGTCCAATGAGATTCCTTTGTCATGTATTTTCCCATTTGCAAGGGCCGAGCCCAAAAGAAAAGTACATCTGACAGCAATAATTTCAGCAGCTGATGGCTTTTCATAGTAAGAGCATGCAGCACAAAATTACACATCAAATGTCACTGACATTATTGAGAAAAAGGTTACATTATTTATAGGCATTTACAACTAAACTGATCCCACTGCAGATATACAAATAAATGCAAAGCAACAGGGCACAATATTTGCATTTTTTAGGATTTCAACTGTCATCTTCTAAAAATCATAAGACTAAATCAGTGAATAAATGTCTTCATGTGAGACACTGGAATGTAAGATTACTGCAATACTTACAAAAGTGTATTTACTACTTTTAGGTGGTAAATCTTAGTTTAAAAAGTCCTTTCTTCTGCAATTGAAGACTGTTGCTTGAGCAGGGAGGTTGGACCAGATGACCCACTGTGGTGTCTTCCATTCTGTGATACTGTGAAATAAGAAATAAACATATTGGCAGTTTCATGTTGTAAGCAACAGAAATATTGGTGTACATTTCAAAGCAAGCATTCTGTTGAGTAGAAATCTTGCTGAACAGATTCATAATGATGCCTACAGAAGTGTGCCCATGTGTATCACCACTGTGGCAGGATTACAGTTCAGAGGATATCTAACGAAACCTGTTAAACACAGTGTTTATGTTCACTTATGTGACAGTGAAATACACACTCAGAATTAAATGTGTAGGTTTTTTTAATCTAGTCTTTTGACTCAACATTAGAGATGTTATATATAGCACTTGTAGATACTAGATTTAAGAATTACCAAAGACAAATTACGATGTCATGATACATTGAGTAATGAAGTATTTATGTCATAACAGGCACATTAGAGGTGTGACCACTCTATATTGTAGATTTTAAGCACTTTAATAGAAGGGAGTTATAAGCACAGTATTTAAGTTATAGCCACATCCAAACTGTTCAATTAGATACAATCCACAGTAGCTTACAATTTATACTTTATTAGGACAAGTATCAGATTTTTTTTTTTTATAACAATAACCATGCTCCATGAAAACAAAACTTTACTTTGCAATCTGGGAGAGGTACTAGTAGCAGATACTTGGGGAAGTATATCAGAAGAATTTCTTAATTTGTTTTTGAATTGTTCATCTATCAATCAATCCCCAGACTCTTGAATAATGCACAGCAGAATATTCACCCTTGGCATGCTAGTCATTATGTTATAGACACTCCCTTTCCCTTCCCTTTTCCCCCACTCATGCCTTTTCCAGCCTGAGAAGTCTTAGTCTGCTGAGTTAACCTTCTAGAAGGTTCTCTACATTTCATCATCCTGTTGCCTTTCTCTTTGCCTTTTCTAACTCTGGTGCACAGCTGTGGGATGGGAATGGGGAGACAGGAGAGTCCTGCAAGAGCTTTGTTGGATGCAGGCACAACGTGACCTCGTGCATGGTGTGATCTCCCTGTCCTCTTGTTCCACAGGAGCTTTACATTAAATATCCAACATCTCAATCACATGGATGATCATCAGTGTATATAAAACCTTAGGGTTTTGGGAGGTTATTGGTTTTATGTGGGGTTGATTTTGGTTTCATTTCTCCTCTTCTCATGAGCACACTTTACAGGTATTAGAAGTTAATTTAATCTTTGGTGTTTTCTGGTCAGTTAGTACCAGATGGTTCATCCACAGTCCTCTGCACCCACCTTTGATTTGCATTTGCCTGACTAATATAATAGCCTTTTGAGATTTATTTTTTTTTGTTTTATTATTCATCATTTTTCCTGAATTATTTATAGTATTTTGAAAAGCACCAGCCCTAGCAGTAGTCCCTGTGGAACCCATCAGCAAAGTACATTCATTGAGTTAGCTGTTCATTGATCCCTTATCTTCACTTCAGTGCTTTATCCATGAAAGAATTTCCTCTTGTCCCATGACAACTTTGCATTCTTGAAAGCTTTTCCTCAAACACCTTGCTGAAAGCCTTTTGTGGTATACTTTGTCTCCAAGCTTCTGTTGTTTGTGGAATTGTGAAACTTTCCTTCATTTTACACAAACCATGCTAATTCCTACCTAACAGCAAATTTATCCATTGTTCATTGATTCTTTATTGTTTATTCTGTATTTTGATACCTATCCATCACACCTGTCTAAGTGTCAGTCTCACCAGAGTACTGTTCTTATGATATCCCCCATACCATTAAAAAAAATTATTTGTATAATTTATGACACTTTCTGCTAATGTTGTTCCAAAGCAATTTTAATAAGAAGTTAGATGCTTAGCATTAATAGTTCAGCTGTTTCAGCCTCAAGTTGCTATAGAACTCCTGGGCAAATACCATCTGGTCTGGGTGATTTGTTACCATTCATTTTGTCAGTTTGTTTTGTACCCTGTTCTACTGATGCTGCAGTCTGAGGCAGATTCTCTGAGGCATTTTTTGCCTAAAGAAAGATCTCAGCACAAGAGTTGCCTCGGCTTCCTTATGTAGAATATAGATGCAGAAAAAGTATTTATCTTATACTAGCCTTCTGAAAATGCATTAATGTGCATATCTTGCTAATTTGCTCAGGTCAATCTGTAAAGTCAAGTGTTTTCCCCAGTGAGAGAAGAGAAATTCTGGAGACCACCAAACTGTTTCAGTCTTTCGGTCCTAAGGGATTAAGTTTCTTTTCCCTTGCAGTTAGCAGCATGAAGCAGTGTAATGTGGTATCCCCTGGGTAATTTCAGGATCAGTTGTCTTGTTTGACAGTATATGGAATCAAAGGGATTTGTGATGACCCTTCCATTTCTGCTCAAAGAACGAAGGGGAAAGAGGGCCACTGTCATCTAACTCAGAGTCCTTCAAACACTGTAATACAGTTCTGTGTTTTCCTTTCTCTTCTTTCCACACATGAACAAATTTAAGCATCTTTATCTGTTTTATTGCCTGGTAGATGCAAATATTTGAGGAGCTGCTTTTCCAGTGCTGATCTACAAAAGGGAGGAGGGATACCCCATGATTCCCAAAGCAGCACTGCCCAGCCTCAGTGCCAGTAGCAGGGCATGAAGACTAGGGAGGATGCAAGACTGCAGAGCAGCATGCTGTAGAACAGGAGCCTTTGCCTTAGTGACAGTGACAGAAGGCCACATTCTTCCTGCAGCTCCTGCTAGAGTGTGTCTGTGCCCTTTATTGCAAAGGCAGACAGAGACAGCAGACACCTGCATTTTAGCAGCTTCTGCCACTGGAAAAACGCCCTTAGAAGTGTTCCCTTGCTGCCATCGTGTGGTCCAATGGATTGTTTCCTGCAAGTCTGCTTGTGCTGGGGGAACTGGGGCTCTCCCAGCTTTCTGAAGGCAGAGTCATTGGGAGAAGTGGTCTTTAAGTGGGAACAGGATCATTTACCTCCACGTGTTTGTGATCTGTTCAGACACAACTTATGATTTTCAATTCAAAATAATTTTTTAGCTTCTAAAGTTCTTCATTTTAGATTGAAATTAACTCTGCTGTGCATGCTTAAATGTTCAGATGTTAATCCTCTTTCTGTTCCCCTGTGTTTGAAAAATACTGTTGTGTTGCCATGGATTGTTCTGTGGGACTGTGTTTCCAGTTTAAACTGACCTACATGTACAGTAGTGATGTAAGAAATTTTCTTTATTTTTATCCCATTACTGGCCACCTACTTTTCTTCCCCACCGAGATGGGTCTGGGAAATGATTGGCTTTGCATGGCAATGGAAAGGAAGTATGTAGAAATGCAAGACTTGCAGATGGTGCAGAGAGCAAGCTTTTCATACCCCTTTTCTGCCAATCCTCTTCTACCTTGATTCTCTTGCAAAACTGATCCCTGATGGATGCAAAAACTTATGCCCAAGATTAGGTTCAAATGAGTAGCTGATTTGTCAGTTCAGAGTTTCCATTGCATTTTTTTCTATCTGCAATTAAACAGTTTCCTAGAATAGTCCTGTGAGTAAATTTGGCATTTTAATAGAAGTGAATTTTTCCTAGATATTCAAGATATTATCTTTTTAAGGTGTTTACATGGGTATTTGCGTAGTTGCCCATAAAGTATCTCAGGGTTGGGGTTTTTTTGAGAAAATTTTTTGTATCTTTGGAAAACTCCGGATAAAGCAATGTTGTCTCAAATGGAAAGAAGTGGCTGCTTCCCAAGCAAAACCAATTTATGTGTCTCCAGTATTGCAAAATTTTATGTGAAGTATGGAAAGACTGCAAAAAATCTTTGGAAAGGTGAGAAGGAAGCACCAGATGGAGCTGGAGTAACCACAGAATAGTAGTGGTTGGAAAGAACATCCAAAGTGATTCACTCTTAAATCCAGGTGCTGAGCAAGAGCTGCACACAATGCACACTTGCTGTTTCAGTCTGGCTCTTCACAGAAACAGAATCCTGTGTCCTGTCTAGCAGTACCTGGTAGATAAACAAGGTTTATCAAGAGGCTTTTGGTGCCAGTTTTTGGGTTGTTTCCTAACTGTTGGTCATTCCTCTGTATGTCAAAGAGAAAACACAAGGTGCAAACCAGTACGGGGTGTCTGTAGTGTCTGTACCCTTCGAGTAGCTGTATCCCCAGAGGGCTCCTGGCTGTTGGTGTGTTCCACCAGCCCACCTGCCCTTTGTAGCGCAGCTGCCCTGAGGTCAAGATGCTCTGCACATCTGCAGCCTGTCACAGAAATCAATGTCTTGGGCTAGTTACAAGCCTGTTTCTGTGCTGTGAGTGTCCAGCATTCTCACCTCCCCTCATGGTGTCCTGTTATTTGTTTAGCCTGTGATGTCAGATCTGAAGGTGCCACAGTTGAGGTTTCTGGTTTAGTTTAGTCCATTTGTTTACATATATTTACTTGCAATATGAAATCCCTGATTAAATTGTCTGTCCATGTTATTTATTTTGCCAGTGAGCTGGAGACATTTGTTGAAGATCTGAAGAAGGACTCTGCTGCTTCCAGCAAGGCAGTTACACTGAAAGACGTTGAAGATGGAGCCTTTCTTTTGCGTCAAGTGGGAGAAGCTGTTGCTACCCTGAAAGGTATGTACTGTCCTTTTTACTTCTGTTTCTTTTCTTTTAACCACAGAGAACAGTTTTGCCTTTGATCTGGAGGCACTAACTTTCACTTTCAAAGAGATGTAAAGCTGGGATTAGGGAGCTTGCTGCATGGCCCCTGGAGAGAGATAGACATTCAAGTAATTGACATTCACCCAATCATCTTTTACTGCCCAGGGCTTTCATAATTTCCTCTTCAGCTTCACAATTGTTTTCTTTGCAGGAGAGTTCCCGACACTGCAAAATAAAATGCGAGCGATCCTGCGGATTGAGGTAGAAGCGGTGAGGTTCCTGAAGGAGGAGCCACACAAGCTGGACAGCCTGCTGAAACGTGTGCGCAGCATGACCGATGTGCTCACCCTGCTCAGGAGGTGATTTCTTTTCTTTTCTTCAAGTTTAAAGAATTTCCTCAAGCAAGGCTGGAACAGCTTTTGGGTTTGTGTTCTCCCCCTTGTCTGTGGCAAATCTCTGTTCAGCTTGTTTGCAGTATTGATAGATTGATCCTAGAGCCCTCTCAAGGGAATTCAAATTAGCCTTTCCTGTGCTCTGTGCAGTGAGTCCACTCTGACCAGCAGCTTCAGCCACTGAGATCTTACAATTAAAACTAGATACCTCTCACGTCAGCACTTCCAGATCTGGGAAGTGCCTGGATGAGAGAACTTACTGTGGCAACAGTCTCATACTGAGCTAATTACCTTAAGGTATTTACAGCAATTTAAGCTAACAGAAACATTGTCTGACACTGAAAGATTAATTCCCTAAAATGTAACTGTAAGAAATAAAATAGGAAAATAGTGTAAGTGGATAAAGGTATTTCAAACCTTCTGAAAGAATACATTTCAAATTCTTTTTCTCTTCTTTGCATAGAAGATGCATTAGAGGAAGCTGAAATATTAGATAAAACTTAATGTCCACTAAGTGCCAGTGTTTATCCATGTTTGTCAGAATATCCGAGCAGCAAATGCTTGCTGATTTATTTAACCCAGTGGGTATTGGATTTAATTCCTGCTCAAAACTGTCAGTGGTGGTGATCTCAATTTTAGTTCAATTACAGGAAAATGTAAGTCATGAGCCTATTGTTGCTACCATTACTCTAAGGAATGTAGCGCTGCCAGTGTTTCTATATATCTTGGAGCATATGTAAAATGTATTTGGCAGTACTGGCAGATGAATAAAATGGTTTATATAACAGGTTTTATAAGAGCCATCACTTACTTATCCATGCAGACAAACATCTATATCCTTTCACATCAGTTTCTTTTCTTAAAAATTATTACAGTTACTTCCTGTCTTGCAGAGAAAAATAGAATAATAAGCTATGCATACCAAATTTTTACTAATTTTTTTGGAGCAAAATTGCATATTAAGCCTCATAAAGTCTGTTTCAATAATGGGAAAACTCATGGCTTTTGATAGCTTGCAACACTCAGAAGCTCAGACATTTCACAGCTAGCTGCCAGAAATAGTTGTTTCTTTATGTCCTCAGCTCATCCTACCCCACATCTTGATAGGAAAGACTTTTATGAAGTATTATTTGATACAGAACCTTCATTTGAAGCTCTGTTTTGACAACATGCCAGACTGCTGCCTCTCATTATATGTAGCTTCACTTTTCTGTGCTTCTAGTCCAGGAACATCTTGTTTAGCTAGGTACATTGTATATGGTTTAATAAACTGATTTTCATTCTCACTCTAAAATCAACCCACCAAACCAAATCAATTCCTGGTTTGGTGAGAAACTGCCAGTACATCACTGAAGGTTTGTAAACACCTTAGACAGCAAAACCATCGAAGTTAGAGTAGCCTCTTTAAAATTCTGAGCTCCTGACTCTGAGAGAAAGCTATAAAATCATACAGCTAAGGGCATCAGGGAAATAAAAAGATCACTATTTTGATTGTTTTGATTTTGGTGCTTTTTCTTTGCAAGAGTTTATTGTTGCATATTGCTGATGACTGGCCTGTGTGCTGACCATGTGCTGTTGTGTTTGGTTTGGCTGGGCAGACATGTTACAGAAGGACTGCTGAGGGGTGCGGATCCATCCCAAGCTGTGCAATACTCTGCTACAGAAAAGTCCACTGCAGCTGACACTCTGAAAAGCCAAGAGGAGCACAAGCCCACCCAGGGACACGCACAACAAAACCTGACAGCAATCCCATCCGAGTCCCAGGTGCCATCGGTCAAGTCAGAAGTCATCCCCTTCTCAGCCATGACCGTCCACCACGTGCAGAGCTCGCCTGTTGTCATCCAGCAGTCTCAGCACTCGGCAGCCCTGGTCCCCCACGGCCAGGGCTCTCCCTCTGCAGGCAGCCACGGTGAAGCTGTGCCTGCAGGAGCTCACCCTGCAGCCACCCCGGCCCCGCAGGAGCCCACGGCAGGATCCCAGCCCGCACAAGCCACACCAGCACCACAGGTCTCTGTCAATGGCACCACCATGCAAAGCCTTTTCATTGAGGAAATTCACAGTGCAAGTACCAGAAATCGAGCTGTATCAATTGAGGTACGGTGTATTCTACTCCAACAGCTGTCCTCTCTTTGGGTCTGAGCTCCCAGTCTCACTCTTGATGCACTCTTGATGCTGCAGGTGGGACTTCACAAATGCATTCTGGGGATTTATGTACTTAACCCCTAGTTACACTGTACTTCTGAAGATACCCTCTGATTTTGTCCCTGCTCATTGCAAAAGAGTTGGACTAGATGTCCTGTAAAGGTCCCTTACAACCCAAACTGTTCTATGATTTTAAATGCAACAGAAAAGTTACATGTAATCAAAATCAGGTAACTGTTTTTAAAATTATTTTTATTGAAAAAAAAATTCAGCATTCTGCTTTAGAAATTTTAGAATACCCTATTTTTAACAATAGCATACAATTCTCTGGCAACACTTGCATATGTGGATTTCGTTCACTCTTTAAATCTCCATATGCCTTATTATGGAGAAGTAAAAGTGAAAGAATGTGAAGCTCCAGTGGTTTCCAGTGGGAAAACTCAGAGGTGAACTGCTGTGTCTTATTACAGACACAGCCTTTAATCACCAGTATGATGTATTGAGGCAGAGACCCAGATTTAAATTTTGCCTTTGTTCCTTTAGTGAGCAGTGGCCACTGGCATGTATTTGTGTCAAATCTAGCACAATACAAATCAGAACAGTGTGCAATTACTGTTCATGGATTTCCTTTAGTTGCTTTCTAGAATTGAAAGAATCTATCCATACTGACCTATAATGTTTACACATGGATTTTATTTTTAAATAAGTGATTGCAATGGAAATCAGAAAAATAAATAGACTCTTTACTGGTTTTATCTAGAAAGCTGAAAAGAAGTGGGAAGAGAAAAGACAAAACCTTGATCACTATAATGGAAAGGAATTTGAAAAGCTCTTGGAGGAGGCCCAGGCCAATATAATGAAGTCCATTCCTAACCTGGAGATGCCTCCCCAGCCAGCAGCCCTGCCTAAAGGAGATGCAGCAGAAAAGCTAGAAGTCTCAGGTAAGGTTTGCTAGAGTAAATGGGGCTAAAGAATTGCCTGCCTGGGAAGGAGAGGTTATTTTTCCAACTTTCTAGAATGTTTTCAGTTTATAGATTGCTGTGATCCCGAGGAAGGACAAAACAATCTCTGAATACACAAAAATGTGCTTTAAAAAACAAGAATAACTTGCTATGTGTGGATAGAATGGTGGTAAAAGCTGGCAATTGCAAACAGGAAAATCCAGGTTAGGCATTAGGGAAAAAACCTCATAAAGATGAGGAAAGTGAAGCACTGAAGCTGCATGAGGCAATGAGGAGGATGCAAGGTCCCCATTACTGGACAGAATGGTTTAGACTAGCACTGAAATAGAATTATACAGGTAGAGCTACTTAGTGGTAGCAAGATGGTGAGATGTCCTTCCAGTCCTATTTCATGTCTGAATTTATTCAAAATCCAAGGAGCAAAAAAGATGCCTCAGCCAAACCTTAGATTTATCCCATTAGGCAAACACACATCATTAGATTCTTACCCATATGCAAGTCCATCCAGCTCAGTCTCTGACAGGCAATTGGAGATGCTGTGTGTGGGGAGCACAGAACGCAGCTGCCTTCTGCAGTTTGCTACTAGTATTCCATTCAATTCTGGGATTTTAAAGGGAATATCCAAATCTCTTCCTTTCCATATCCATTATAGAACTTTTATTCAGCAATTCCCCTATACTTGATTATACAATTTACACCCTCTTGCTGTGGCAGCAAGCTCCCATCTTGTGAAGGAGCTTTCCTTCATCCCTTTTAAACTGGTATTCATACCAGCTTCACTGAGTTCTCCATAGCTCTAATACCCCTAATTTGGCAAACAACAGCTCTTCATTTCGTTCATAAAATTATGAAGGCAGTGGATAAGCCTTTATCATGTCCTGGAGCTCTCCTGGAGTCTGCCCCACAGACTTCAAACTGAACTTCCAGCCTTTCTGGTCCCTCCATCCAGGCCAGCTGCTCCCTCTCCTAGAGGCTAGATTCAGTTACCCTTGTTTAATTCCACTTTGTCCTTCTGGAGCTGTGGGGGTCAGAGCTGCATGCTGCACTCAAGGTGTTGGCATGCCAACATAGTAAAAAGCTGAAAAACAAAGCCCTAGGGGTTGTGTAGACAAATTCATATAGAATTTGGGAGGAGTGTTTTCAGACCCAGCATTTTGTTCTGTGTGTACCTTTGACACTGCCAAGTTTTGGCTTCTTGGATGTTTTGCAACATACATGTTTAAAATAAATTATGTTGAACCTCATAAAATAATTTTAGAATTCTGGCACCCTTCAGTGAGATTACTGGCTATCAACACAATTAGCTTGTATAATGTGTGGCATAAATAGAAGAAGTCAGTGAAAATAAGTACCATATGGGTGCAGTGAGCTGTGACATCTTAAGAAGTGCAGAGCACAGTAACTGAGAAGTTTTGTAAGTCGCATAGTTAACTAATCCACTTCTGGAATACAATTTTGCACAGTGTGCAGCCAGCAGATTTAAGAACAAGTTTGATGAGATTGAGACATTTGCCTTCTGTTGTGCATAATGAATCCTGCAATAGTAACATAATTACAGGAACAGCAAAACTTTTCCTTAATATCTGCTTAAATATCTCACATACCACTCAGCTCTTCTATGACTGAGGATGAGAAGTTCAGTACCAGTCTGCTGTAGACTTGAAAGTTGAGCAGCATAAGAAAAGACATACCACCTATCTACCAATAAAATAGATAAAAAATTTTGGCCATAAATGAGCAGAGGCCTCTGTTGGCTCAGCTGCAGAGCCCAGAAATATCATGTTGCCAGATTGTGTCTCATCCGTTCTCCACACAGAACCTTTCCCAGTGAAGAAACACTTCTTTTTCTCTGCAAAGCACAAAGCAAAATAAAATTACACACTTCACACAGTTTTCCACATCACTCTGCAAATATTTCTTTAATGTCTTGAGTCTAACTTATCTTTGTATCAAGACTTTTCCATGAAAAATGTGATCTTTTTCTAGCATGTACATTAGTAATTGGTCTCCTTCATCTCTCTTTGTGCCTTCATATGTGAGAACGCCCTGATTTTTGGAAGTGATGAGTGATCAGTAACTTCCATTAAAGAGAGTTTATCTGACTGCAGACTGCCTCAAGGCAGGCTTTATTATTGTGAAACCTTTTGGATTTATTTTGGTGCAAGTAGAAGTCTGTATGGTGGGAGCAATTGGTTCCCATCTATGTGTGCCTGTTGAAAAATGCTGCAGTTTCGTGAAACAGCTGGTGACAAACAACTCCCATTTTGTTCACAGAAGTGCTGAGCCCTTTGGCACCAAAGAAGGTTCCATAATGTGTAGGTTTTATTCATGGGCAGTCTCAGACTTAGTGAGTTAAATTTTTTCATTTACTCCTCCCTCTTTAAATTTGCCAGAGGGGAAAAAAAAAAAAACAACAGGTAAGATCTTCCCTGTAATTTTTTTCCTCTAAAATTTGTTTTTTTCCTTCTTATCTGTATTGGAGAAATATAATGGTTTAGTAAATAAAACAGAAATCCATGTTTGAAGTTTTATGGGCAGCCTAGTGTCACTGCACTGGCCATGACCAAGCCCCATCACAGCCTCTCCTTAATGACTCCAGCTAAGGGGCTGAGAGAGATTAGCCTTCAATAACCAATGCTTCTGCCACACTTAGTGAGAATATTTCTTACCTGTGTTTTTATCTCCCATTTTGAGGATGGAGATGGATGAGTATCTCGGAGATGTGAATGAGATTGTAAGAATCATGTTTTCTTCATGCCTTCCATGTCTCTCATCCAACCTTGCTGTCATTAAATGCAAGAAAAACTTTGAGTTCTTGCAATCAGGGTCACTAACAATTTGAGGGTAATGGGTTGTGCCCATTAAAAGGAGTAGGAATTTGCAAAAGCCCTACATCATAGTCTGCTAAACACCATCTTAGAGAATTACTCTGATTTTACAGCAGAAGCACATCTGATGTAATTAAAAACTGAGTGGTGTGTGTTGACCAAAGAAGTGGTCTAATGTTAAGTGCATCTGGAAATTCACTCTTCTTGCAATCTGGCAAGTGAGTGCCAGATAACCAGGGAGGGAGATAATACAACTGAATATTTCTTTAAGTTTAAGCAGCTTCAAAGAACATTTGAGCTAAGAAGGGGACAAAGATGAGACTGGGTCACACAAGGACTCCATCCAGTCCCCAGGGCTAACTGGAGTGCTGGAGCAGCCTGACAGGAGTGGGCAGTTATGCAATAATTTCCCCATAGGGAACACTTAGCCCTAAACAGCTGGATAATCCCAAAAGCAGGATGTTTTATCTTTCTGGATTATATTTATGCCAGCTGTTTATATAACACTGAGTGGCTGCAGAAAGGTCGTTCTTTTGCTCTTGGAAACAAACACTGTAAACAGCAGTGTGAAAACAGTGGCTGTTGCCATATTTATGATGCTTAGCCTGTAACCAGAAACATTCAGGGGCAGTTCATGAGCTGGGTAATGCTGCTTCTGGAAATAATGCTGTTCAGGGATGGGGGGAGGAGGAAGTGGCAGCTGGTGGGGCAGCATCCTCAGGGGCAGTGCCAGTTTGAAACTGGTCTTCTCTAAGAAGACTCTCCTCAGAAAGGAAGGGCTGGCTCTGCTTGGCCTTTGCATTTGGTATTTGAATCTTTTTGGCTTAGAAAAATATGTATAGGGCTTTTATATGATCATTCAAAGGCAGAACTGTACATTCCTAGAATTACAGCAAGTTAAGTGAAAACAAATACACCCTAAGAAGAGGAGCAAGTGCAGTTGCCTCTGGCGATCCCCTGCCCCACTCAGAGATGAGAGGACTCACTGAAATGCAAGGGTGGCATCTCTGTAGAGTACTGCTTACATTTTCACTCGGCCTCTGTGTGAACTTAGCTAGTTGTGTCCAGCTATCCAGCTATGGGATGGACAGAACTCTTCAGCTCCTTGCACCTTGCCAGCAGCACCTCCCAGGCAGAGCAGAAAGCTGTGCTGATTGCTTCAGAATTGCTGAGAACAATGAGAAGCCTCCAGGCTGGAGTCTGTATCCATGTCAGTGGCCTTGCTCTCAGAGGAGGCTGAGGGGCACTGTCTGTAAGCAGGTACCCAGAACTTGTGCCTTACATGCTCCTGCACACATGTGCTCTGCTATCCCACTTGTACACTGACGGCTACACCCAGACACAGCTGCCTGCAGGACAGGAGTTTTGCTGAAAAGTTCTGGGGGAAGTGATCCAGTTTCTCTGTGCAAGTACAGCACTGTTTACTTTCATTTCAAGTTACACTTGAATACCAAATGTGTTTCTGTTTGTATATTCAGCAACAGGACCTTTTAAGACATTTTTTTTCCTTTCCAGTTAAGGCAGGCATGCAAATACTATTTTCCTCTCCTTCACCTATGCTTACTTTGTGCTGCTGTTTACCTGCAGAAGAAGCTCCTGATGGAGAACAGGACAATGACAAGCTGACCAAGTCTCCACCTCCTCCACCTCCACGGCGCAGTTACCTGCCAGGGTCAGGGCTGACCACAACGAGATCAGGAGATGTCATCTACACAGCCAGAAAAGAGGCTGCTGCTCTCAAGGTTTGGTGATTCATACTCTAGGCAGCCACACTCCTGATGAGAGGTTGGCAAACAGACAAGACATGGGCTTGGGCCTATAAACCACAAAATAAGTTGAGGCAGAGCTGTGTCCTGGAGTGCTACTGAAACTGCTCACCAGGATGCACTTCTGTTAGGACAAATGAGCAAGTAAGATTTGGTCAGTTCTGTTTACTTGCTGCTCTTATCTCCTAGCAATACAGCAGGCAAGTCACAGGCTGCTTTCATTTAGAGTGGTAAGAAGATTAAAAATAAAAAAAAAACAAAACAAAAACAAAGCATGCCTTAAACAGATGGGGAAGATAAGGTCAGATTTGAGAGTGTTCTTACAGAAATGTTGAAAATTAGTTTCTTTAGGCTTGTTTTTCCCATCTGTTCTGGGGAAGGAAGTGGTGGGGAAAGTCCAATTTAGGAAGCTTTTTAATCTGTGAACATATAATCACATCAGCAATATTGGTTGCTTTTGAACTGATGAAGTAGCAGGAAGAGGGACCTTGCAAGACAGGAGTTGCAGTAGTGTTGAATTTTTGGTGTTTACTTTGCATCAGGAAGGTTCAGCTGTATTATCTGTCTGTGCTTTCTCACTCCCTTGTAGGAATGCAGTGAAGATGCTGGGCAAATAGCACAATCCAAAGCCCCCAAAGAGGACCAGGCTTTGTCTCGGAGCACAGGGCATGCTGTAGCACCAGCTGCAAAAGATGAAGAGGAAGAGGAAGGAGATAAAATAATGGCAGAATTACAGGTATGCCTTTTGGGTTGCACATGAGGACACCTCTGCCCAATATCACTTCTAGGGCCTCAGTGCAATTTCCAGCTCAGAACATGAAGGAAAGTAGGTCTGCTAGCCTGACCCAGAACCACTTTGTTGCACTGAGTGGTACACTTTTTGAAAGTACTACCAAATTTTGTTCAAGAGGTCTGGAGCTGAGACAGTGATCAAGAATGCAGTAGCTGCCACTGGAGAAGCCTGCACATGCAAATGGGACAAGTAAAACATTGGTGTGCATTTGGTGTGGTTGTCCCTGGCCTAGTGTTGCTCACCCAGTACCAGACTGGCAAGGTGCTGAGAGCCTCTGTCATGTGTGCTTTGGTGGGAGCAGAGAATAACTGGGTGTGCTTCTGGTGGGCTATGCTATAATCCAAAGTTTCCCAGAATGTTTGAACACTGAGACATTGCCATTTCCTGTGGTGTAACTGGTCCATCACTCTGCCAGTGGCATAGAAGAGTGCTCTCTTGCTGGTCCTTCACTTGACATCACATAGGACAGTTCACTTCAGTGATGGAAATGCTGCAGTAAATGCCAACTATTCCAGCTACCATCAGTGAGCTCCAGCTTTCCAGGGGCACCCTCTGTCCTCTTCCATGCCCACATGAGGAAGGGAGATGTGGATCAGCCTAACTGGCTATAATTTTTGGTATTTTAGAATGCTGTTGCAACATGAGATGATCCCTGCTGTCCACCTGCCAACAGGTGGGCTTGGTGCTGCCCAGGGAGCATTCAGAGCACAGGAGATGTGGGCACTAAGCTCTAACTGTTCGTTCTGAGGGGTTCACCTTGCTGCTTCCCTCAGCTCTTACCCACCAGTGCTGATTTCAAGAGTGAGAGCAGAAGTTCACCCTTATCCCCTCTGTGTGCTGATGACAGCAGTGAGACACCAGAGCTGGGGACATGTTGGAATCTGAGGTATTGGTGATTCTGAGATTGTAGAAAGTCTCTGTCTTTCTGCCCCGTTGCCCAAGAAGCCATAATTGGTCTGTGCTGGTTTTAAGGTTGTTTATTCTGTTTATCTCTCACATGTTCTGCTGCCCTGCCCAGCTCTGTCCTGCAGGGCAGCGTGTGGGGCTCTGCCCTCAGTGGGATGTTACAAACATTAAATACCAGAAACTCCCTGGGCTGGATTTACAATAATGTGCCAATATCTACCATCTACATTGAACAGTGTGTCCCCAGCCTAAACCAACAGAAAAATGCCAACACTACAGTGAAACGTGGAGGGCATGAAGAAGGAGAAAAAGGACAAGACACACCCAATTTCCTCCATCTTGTCCCCTTTGGACCCCTAATCTAGAATCCTAAAATTTTACTTTTCCACCGGTGCCACACTTAACTATTACTTATATCAAAAACTCAGAGCTTGTAATTCATCCTGTAAGATTGAAAACTCTTTTGCATGGACAGAGATCACAGACAGTGTCTCTCAGGGCTCTGTCCAGGGGGGTTCCTGACCCCCTGCCAGGGTCCCAGGGCAGCCAGAGGGAAGCCCTGGATTCCCACAGGGACACAGAAGCTGTCACAGCATCTCAGTCTCTAGGAAAGCAACCTCTGCCTCGCAGCTGGGGACAGTGAAGTGGAGGTTAAGGTATGGAAAGTGGGGGCTGAGAGAAGCTGAGGAAGAGAAATAGGCATGGGAATGGCATTCAGCAGGGAATGGGTGTTTAAATGCTAGCTTTGGGGGCTAGCAATACTCATTTCAAACCAATACCAAATACCAGGTATATTTTAGAAGCTTAACAGCATACCATGTTTATAAAGCGGCAAATTGCCTGATCTAAGAGCTACAGGCTCATTAGTTTGATGTCAGTCATAGGCAGAAAGATGGAAAATGAGATATGGAATTCAATCATTGAAGAATTAAAGGCCAGACATAAACAGTTATGCCAGTGAGCACAATGCAGTGGAACAGAGAGCTGTCAAAGGAAGCAACACTCAGATCAAGTAACAGGTTCAACTGCTTAAACTGAATTGTATACCTATAACCATTTTAGTAAGGCGTTTGATCAAACATCACACAACATTGTTATAAAAATCTGGAACCTCAGAGTATACAAAAAAACCCTATTGCAGCATAATAGAGACCTGTCTGCTTTTGAAATCACTGACCTTGATGCAAGTGTTGCTGCTATGTCAGGTCTCATAGGGAGCAGCAACAGGCCCAGTATCTCTCTGTATTTTCATCAGAAGTCTGGAAATACATTTAAAATTCTTACTGTGTAAATCATCTTTATTCAGATCAGTGAATTATGACAGCAGAGACATGATAGCAATCATTTAATGGTCATAATGCTTTGCTGAATAAGAAGTCCACATGAAGAGCAACAATATGTTGGCCAGGCCACAACTGCATGCCTTGGAAAGAAATAGGAGTTACAGTAAGAGATTGACAGGAGCTCCCAGGTCAGTGATGCTGCCACAAAATTGAGCCTGCCTCAGGTGTAGATGTGAAAACATGCCATGTCTTTATGTCTGTGTACAAGATCAGTGATCAGTGTGTACACACTGTGCTGCTGCATCCATGACTAAGTATCCATATGTCTCCCATTTGAAAAACCTGTTGGAGGTCCAGGAGAAACTTGAGTGCAATGTTGAGATTTTTAATGGAACAGGAAAAGGCATCATAATTATCAATGGCTGTAGCACAAACTATTTGGAGACTGTTACCGATATTTCAGAGCAAAGGTGATAAGAAAAATACCAAAGGGAAATAGCTTTTTTGACACTTAGAGTCTGAAGGACTTTGAGGATGCTTTATTCAAACCCACATCACTGGTCTCACAAATGGGTAAGTTGGGGAAAAGTCCATATCCTCTATTGTGAGGAGGAAGACTATTTTTTCTGTTAGTTTCATGTCATCTTAGGTACTCTGGTCTCTTAACACATACAAATGGCATGTAATGGAAAACCAGAGGCAAGTCTACATCCTGATTTTTTGCACTGGTTTTTTTTCTGTTATCCTTACTTTTCTGATTTTGCATAAACATGCAAAACATATAAAGAATACAGTATTTAAAAGAACAGGCCTGATTTCAATCTGTAATCAGGGCTTTTAATTTCATGAGTTGCCAGGAATCAATAATTTCCCTAATATATGGTATAACAGTAAAATCTTACTGCACTGTCTAACTCCTGTGAGCACTGCCCCCTCTTTGCCGTGTCCTCCCTGCACGTCTCACTGAAGGCAGGCCATGTGCCAGTGGAGGCCTGCAGAAATTCTGGTGAGGCAGAATTTTCTGCCTGCACTGCATGGTGATAGTGGCAGTACTAGTTTTGCTCTTCCAGGTCTGGGAGCCAGCTGGATAGAGAAACTCAAAAGAAATGAAAGGAGGATAGCAAAATAAATGTTTGAAAAGTCTGAGCCATGTCCTGGAGGATACGTGGTGGGAGGCCAGTGCCCACAAATCCATAGGTTGGGACAGTCAATTTATGGCTCATTATCAAAGACTGTGACAAATGCACATCTCCATGTTTAAACTTTCAATGACAGTTTGTGGGACAAGTGGAGTTATGTAACTCTTGCATTATCAGCCACAAGGAAATAGGTGCTGTCACAAGCCCCAATTTTGTCATGGGCTTCCTACTGGAGTTTGGAAAGCACCCCTGTGGATCTCCATTGTCTGCAAATTCAGAAATCAAGCTTGTCCTCCTTACAGGGAGCACTGAGGTCAGCATGGTGTTAGAGTCTTGAGAGGCTGGAAGGGATGCCCTGGTTCTCTTACTCTGATACTCTGAAATCTCTATTATTATCTCATGAGCTTGTAGAAAACATTGTTGAGCTGTGACTGTTAAAAACAAATGCTGTCTTTGTAGTTGGTCATCTCCAGATATTTCTGTGTACGAGTTCCTGGTCTTCTGATAACCTGTAGTATTTATTTCCTAGGCTTTCCAGAAGTGCTCTTTTATGGATGTAAACTCAAACAGTCATGCTGAACAGTCCAGAAATGATACACATGTTAAAGACATAAGGCCTGGGACTTTAATGCATCACAAGGAAAAGAAGGTAACAAGTGGCAATTGTAGACATGCCACCCAGTCTTGGCATAACCTTCTTTCCTTCAAAACTAATCTTACATCCTGTGTCCTGTTCTCTTTAACCCCCACCCACCACTGCCCAGCAGTTTCCTTCCTTTTATCTCCGTATGGCTCAGAAATGCTCACACAGAACTCTATATTAAACTTCATTATGTGTCTCATCAGCAATAGTACAATGGTTGCATGAAATTTTATCATTCTGTGAAATCAAAACAGGACCCATCAGTTTCTGTCAGAGATGCTCATACTGCTTAGAGCATCCTTCCCCAACTGTTCTGCTGATGGATGGTGAAGCATCTCTCCTAAGCTTGAGGGGAGTTAATGGTTCCTCTCAGTCTCTGGAGCCAATTTGAGAATGTATGCTTTATTTTGTTTCATTTGTTGGTTCCAGAAATAGTTGTTAGATATTCAGAAATCCCATTCAGTTTATTGGATGACAGAGTCAAAGTGGATGGGAGGAATTTGCCCTTATGTTTAAAGTTAATGCCCAAAATTCATCATGGGACTGAGAAGAGGCACTGTGTGCCTGGGGCTGTAGGCAGGTCAAGGTTAAATTTCACAGCTGTGTGTGGACTGCAGTTGCCAACTGAGTTGATTTGACTTAGCATGCAGCCAATGTGCAGGACAAGAAAAGGACAACTACTTCTGTCCTTGCAGACCCCTTTTTTATGTTCAATAATTAGTTGCATCACTGCTGCATTAGGGGGTTGTGCAGGCATGACAACTTGTCAGCCAAATGTGAGTTTGCAGTGAAGGTGGGTATGGTGGGGAAGGACACACAGCTCTTCAGCACAGCATTTCAACCTCCTCATGCATTCTGTGTGTGTATGCAAGTGCTGCCAGGTCAGGGCATTGCACTTAAGGACTTGTGTTGGAGCTGCCCAAACAGCAGTTCTGGTCTAAAGCTGCAAACAGCTGGCTGGGTGAGGGTACAGGTCCGTGGGTATGAGGGAAAAAGGACAAACTGTTCTGTGTGTATGACAGTGTTACAGAGAAAAAAGAAGCGTGAATTCATCCTCATTACTGCTGTTGTCAGAATGAGAAGATCGTATTGTTACATGAAATCCTGGGTCATCACTCAGGACACTGCATATCCTGTAACACAAACATTTCTTTGAAAGGTGCTGCCAAGTAACTGCCATAACCTGATATTTATTTGAATAACACAGAGTCCAGGAAATTAAGGTTAATGAGATCTGTTTTTGTAATCTGACATGAGAGAGTGTTTATTGGCTTTAAATATGGAACATTATGGTCACGATAAAATCATTGAGGAAATGAGTTTTGTTGTGGTTTTATTTTTTTTGTAGAAAAGCAGAAGTTCCAAAACTAAGACACATTGTACAAGGACACTGTGAGGTGTTTCACTGATGCTTGGAACTAGAAGTGGAACATGTTAAAAAAAAGATATGCAGTCAGCATATCCAGAGGCAACAAGTGCAATTAGGTCACTTGGCCTAATTCTGAGGGGTCTGACATGTTGTGGGATTGGGAGGTGCTCAGCACTGAGCAGGTCAGTGCCTGAGGGGATCACAAGCCCTGGAGTTTGGATCCCAAAATGCCTCTCAGCACAACATGCAGACTGTCAGCCTGCCCACTGAGGCCTTGGTGCTCTGCTGGTTTGTATGAAAGCTTTTCCTCGTTCAGAAATGTGAGGAAGCAGCTGTTCATCCTTGTTACTGCTGAACAAGCCTTTGTGGAGGTGAACTGTGACTCTGGTGTATGAGTGGCTTTCTTGCTTCTGTGGTTTGATTGTGAGTCAAGTTTTTCTGTAAAATCCTCCATAAGAAAATGTCACATAAGGTGTAGAAACTATATCTGGTGAACCTCTGTATGCATGGGGCGTGCATGCACAACCAGTCTGGGGATTTCTGCACCGTCACTCACCCATCTCAGCTGGGAGAGCAATGCTCCTGACTGTTCTGCATGTCTGGATGCTCACATAAGTATAATCTGTCCTTCTGGTGTGCTAGGAGTCAGCTTCTAGTCTCAAGGAGGCAATGTCAGCATTATTGCTTTTGGTTCACTGCCTTCAGGCACCTGAGACCAAATTACTTTCCTTCTTGGTGAGCTGTCTTTTGACTGTAGATTTCTCTCTTATTCATAGTCCTGGTGTCTCCTCAGGTCAGTCCTTCATCCTGATGATTGGTGTTTCTCCTAAGTTGTCACTAGCATTTAAACCAAACCCCAAAGAAAAGCCTCGTGTTATGAAACAGCATTTCCAGGGGTCTTCACTTGCAAATAAAGAAAAAAGTCCCCCTGAAGTTTCATTGCTGGGAATAAACACACTTCTTTTGAGCCAGTGGATGTCCTCTCTGTTTGGTGTTTGGTATTTCTGATGTAAGTGAATGTAGCTCAATGTTTCATTCTGCACTTCCACAGGCACCACAGGGTGTCACTGGTAATTCTGATGAAATACTTCTAAGCTGCAACCAGGATTTAGAAGTTCTCAGACTGTAATGATACTAATTGTGATGGAGCAGCACTGCTCAGATGTGACCAACATTAGAAAGAGCAAAATGTAACTAGAAAATCAGCTTTTACTGGTATAAAACTTCATTTCAAGGCACACCAGATTTGCTGTCAGCTCTTCCATGTCAGCCTCTCTTTGATATGTCCCAGCAGAATGTGACCAGATACTGTGAGATTTTCAGCTTCAATCTTATAAAAATGGGGGGGGTCTGGAGGGGTTTAGTAGGAAGGTGAACAGGTCATGGAGCACTGTGTTGGAAATAAGGTAATTAATGTGCTTATGCATATTCTGGAGGCCTTGTTAAAACAAGGTAACATCCCATCCTGACCTAATGCATAGAACAAAGCAGTAACATCATGCACTGTTCTGCCAGAATTTGGAAATTTGCCCTGAAGAAAGACAGGAATCAGATGACAGCTTGAGATATGTCTCTGCAGCAGTAAATGGAGTGGTGAGTTCACGAGGTCTGCGCTTCCTCCGAGATTAATCTTGGGGAAAAATAAAAGTCCTGTAAAGATAAAAGCCCTGAATAACTAAGTAATCCAACTTTCCCCCTTAGGTGTATGGGGCTACAACAGGATCTCCCACAGATAGTGACCATCCTAAAGAGAAGAGGGAAGGGAGAACTGAAGAAGAATTGGGTTCTGATTCATCCAGTACAGCTGACAATAAAAGTGGCTTTTCAATGAATGACAGTCCTACATTTAGCAAGGGTTTGTTTGTAGACAGTACAGACTATTCTAACAAAAACCTTCAGAATATGAGCATAAACCTGTCTAGCATCGGTTTGCCAGAGGAGGACAAACGAAGAGGGGCTCAAGATATCTTAGGATCACATTTTCCAGCCGTTGAGACTGGAAAACAAAAGCCAAACTACAGACTGTCAAGAGATGCTCTCCAGGGTGTGCCTCAGGGTGAAGCCTTGCAGAGCACAGGCAAGCACATCCCCATCAGCAGCGTTGCCCCTCTCCTGAGGCACATGCAGGAGGCTGCGGGGCCTCAGCCTTCCTTGCAGGAGCAAGAAGTGTCTGCAGGCAACTACAATCAGGTTGTGCTGAGACCCAAAGTGTCCAGAGCAAACAGCGTGAGCAGCATTGAGGAGACAGACTCTCCAGCCAGCTCTCCAAGTGAAGACAACCCACCCACAGAAAACATTGCCTTCATGATTACCAAAACAGCCGTGCAGGTGCTCTCGAGTGGGGAAGTTCACGACATAGTGAGCCGGAAAGGAGGAGATGTGCAAACAGTCAACATCGACACGAGGAAGGATGTGGCATCTGAGAAGGGCATCCCTGAGAACATGGACAGCGAAGAGCCCGTGGTGTGTCTGGACAAAAAGCCTGTCATCATCATTTTTGATGAACCGATGGATATTAGGTCAGCGTACAAACGGCTTTCTACCATTTTTGAGGAATGTGATGAGGAATTGGAAAAAATGATGACAGATGAAAAGATAGAAGAAGAAGAGGAGGAGGAAGAAAATGAAGCACGTGAAGTCTCTGAGAGGCAGAAGGAAGAGTCACCAGTGGCTAATGACAGAAAAGCAACCACAGAGCATTCTGCAGCTCATGGTCCCCAGGGGCCATACCTATTTAACCTTCGGTCTGACTCTGCAGAAGGCAGACCTCCTGTAGAGGAGGAAAGCACAAAGACAAATTTCAACAAATACCGTCAGATCTATGGGCTAAACACAGAAGCAAACTCAGACTCTGCTGATCAGTTGGCAAGCAGGCAGGATTCTAAGAAAAAATTTAAATTTAAATTCCCTAAAAAGCAGCTGGCTGCTCTGACGCAGGCAATACGGACAGGAACCAAGACTGGGAAGAAGACCTTGCAGGTTGTGGTCTATGAAGAAGAGGAGGAAGATGGGACCCTGAAGCAGCACAAGGAAGCAAAGAGATTTGAAATCACTAGGTCTCAGTCTGAGGAGAGTGATAAAAGTCCTTCTGGGAAGCAAGAGGGACGCTCTGGAGCTGCAGTGTCCCTGTCTAGGACTGATGAAATTCGACAGAGTACATACAGAACGCTAGACAGCCTTGAGCAGACTATAAAGCAGCTGGAAAACACCATCAGTGAAATGAGTCCAAAACCTGTCCCTGAAAACACATACACCTCTGAGGGAAGCTTTGTCCCCTTCTCTGCCCAGATAGTACCAGAGACCCCATCCCGAGAGCATGTAGTGCTGGATGAGAGCCTTGCTGGTGTAGAGCCCCCTGCATCACTCCCAGCCACTTCACGTAAGGTACCTTAGTCCGAGAAATCAAACCTCCAGCTGCTTTCTGAAATCTGCAATAATCACCATTAAACAAGAGGGTCTTGTGATTTGTTTGCTTCCTTTCAGGTGGCTTGTTTGGGCTCCCCACGAGGTGTCTAACAGCTAATAGACCACTGTTTTTTGGGGTTTTTTAAAATCTTTGCTGCTGATTGGTGATGGGCAAATGCAGGGGAGCTGGGTCGAATAATCCGCTGTGTGAAATGACAAGTGTCACTGACATGAAATCCAGGCTGATCAGTAGCTGAGCAGTTTTCTCCATTTGATTCTGGAATTAACACCCGCGGTGTGAAGCTCCTGAACTTCCCCTGCATGTAGTACTGTGGCTTGTTTTCGGCGCATGGTGTGCAGTCCTCTGTTCAGGCACCCTCGCACTGACCACGCCTTCTTGTCTCCCCTCCCTGCCCCTCCACTCCTTTCCACAGGGCTCCAGCGCTGCCTCCCAGACAAGCCGGATGCCAGTCCCCATGGCTTCAAAAACTAGACAAGGAAGCATGGAGAAATCAGGCAAACAGCACAAGCTGCAGGATCCACGCCAATACAGACAGGTAGTTTTACCCTAAACCCAGTGTTTGGATGGACATTTCATGTTGTTTGTTTATTTAAAAACTCCAGTAACTGACTGAGATTATACCAAATATCGGATGCCTGAGGTCAAACTGGACATCCTGGATCCTGGGGGGCATGACAGTACTGATCTTTTCACCATGCTTGTGCATGCATGTCTGCAATAAAACACCTGCTGCTTTTTTTGTTTGGTTGGGTTTTGGGTCGTCTGTTTATTGGGTTTGGCTTTTTTTTTTCTTAATTTATTATTTTTATTTTTTTTTAAACTGTGGTATTCAGCTGTGATTTTGAGATGTCAACTACCTGATTACTTTCCATTTGGTTAATGTGGTGGTTCTGTAGGAGAACTGGGAATGCTTCTGTTCAGAGTCTTTACAGGAAGTCCTGGACACTAACCCGTTGGTGTAGGTGGCAGTGGGTGCACATTAACCCGCGGCGGGACGTCCCTCTCACGTTAATTCTGCCAGCATGGCCGACGTAGTGCCTGCTCTGTAACACGTAGGTCGCGCCTTCTCACAAAGCTCTCCTGGTTCTTTCTCTATGCACTCTCCATTGGGCACTTTGGGTTTTCTACCAGGTCCAGTCCATGGCTGCAGGACTTAGCTCAGGCCTCGAACTGTTAGTTCTGATTCTCTGTAGGGCTGTTTTCCCAGGTCCTGTTGGTTTATCGTGTTACCGGCTTTCTGACAAACTGTCTCCCGACATCTTTATTTGCAGGCTAATGGAAGTGCTAAGAAAGCTGGTGGGGACTATAAGGCTACTTCTCCTACCCTACCTGCTTCTAAGATCCCAGCCTTTTCTCCCACTTCTGGGAAAAGCAGCTCAGCACCTGCTTCTAGCGGTGACAGCTCTAACCCTCTTAATCCACCTACTAAAACCTCCATTCCTTCCTCCTCCCTTCTCGGTCCTCAGACAGGTCGCATAACTTACTCTACCTCCCTCATCCCCTCTGTCTCTAATGGCTCCTCCAAGTTGCAGAGCCCCACTTACCCAGGGAAAGGTCACCACCTCTCCTTCTCGCTGCAGACTCAGAACGGCCGACCACCCCCTCCTTCCTCCTCTACCTCCCCCCCCTCCTCTATCTCCCCCCCTTCCCTGAGCCAAGGTATGAAGAGCATCAGGACAATCCACACCCCTAGTTTCAACAGCTACAAGGCACAGAACGGGAATGCCAGCAAGTCCGCCCCATCCACGGTCAAGGAGCCATCCTAAAGGCTAAGCACAGCACACCTGCCAGGTCACCGAGGCTTTTTGTTCACAGAATCCACAGCCAATATTTTAACCAGGGAACGTAACCATTTTGTTGTATTGCTGGAGGCTTAATACTAATCACGTGCTAAATACTGAATTACTACACTAGATTAGAGTGAAGCTTTTTGGAAAACAGTTGCTGTTGCAATGATAAAAGAGCATTTTCTTTCTATAGGCAGCACCTCTTTAAAAAAGTGTGAAGGTGTGTGAGTGAACTGCGTGTGCACAGTGGTGTACTGAGCATGGGGAATTGTATGGATAAAAATTTACTAAGTTGTTTTGTATAAAGCTATTTTTCATTATGAGGTCTAGAAGTGAACAGAGATATACTAAAGTGTGATTATATTCAACTGTAAAACTGAGACTAAAATATTTTTCTTTTATTTTGGTGTTATTTAGCTTTGTTACAGATTTCTATTTTTGTCAACAAATGTCATGGTTCCTTTCGAGATCTTTTTGCCAAAACATTTTGATACTATTGTAATGTACATTTGAAAGTAGTATGCTGGACAGTAAACCTCTGCACAAGAAACAGAACAAGACTGGTCTTATGTGTGTATGAGGCAACTCAACTTATTGCACTGCCATTCAGATTATATTTAAGAATTTGACAGACAAGGAAAAAATAAATTGTTTTACACATATAGATAGTTGCTGATTACTTTTTTTCTTAGCTCAATCCACCCTTTTTCCTTCATTTTTATTTTACTGAGACCTGGTAGCCCATTAATGTATTGCATTGTGGATTTTTAAATGTACACTTCAGTACTGTTCTGTATACTGGCAAACTTTTGTACATATCTATAAATATCTATAAATAAATAAATAAATACTGTATGTGGCTGGGCACATAGAGTAGTTTTACCACACCAAAGTTAATTTTTATGCATGCTTAAAAATACATATGGGAAGGGTTGAAAAAGATGGATACCAGTTAAATAGGAGAAGAGCAAAAAACTTGCATAGCTAATGGTTTTGTAAATAAATTTATTTGTATAACACCATAATGTAATATACAGAACTATGATAAGCAAAGATCTTTACAAAAATAAAGGGCTGCATGCTTATATATTTGTATTTTGTCACTAGTAACTTTTCAGATGGTCTCAATTGGCTGTTCAGCTGTTTGCCTGAGGGTGTTAAGCCATTAGAACACCTGACTTGATTTTCCCCAGATTAAGGCCACACCTAGTTAGTAATTTCAAAATGGGGTCTTTCAAATTGCTATTGATAAAAGCTTGTTGCTGGAATGCCAAGTTAGAAAACCAGCTAGCAATGAAAATGACTGAATGAGGTATCATCCTTTCCACCTTGAGGTACTCCTTGTTTTATTTCCCCTTGTGAAAAGGGAAGTTTCCTAGAAGCATCATTCCAAGGTGGTACCCTTGGAGGGTGAGAGCAACCACTGAGCCATCCCTCAGGAACACAGCACACAGTCTGCCTCCCTCCAGGAGGGTGAGAGCAACCACTGAGCCATCCCTCAGGAACACAGCACAGTCTGCCTCCAGCGGGCTCAGGTCACTGCCACCCCCAGCACAGGAGCTTCAGCGCCGGGCTGAGCCAAGCTGGGGCTGGGGAGCCCAAGGCAAAGCAAAGCACGAGGCATGGTCAGAGCACCCACAGGGCCCCTCTGGAGTGGAGCCAGGTCCCTTCCAGCCAGGGCAGAGCAGCAGGGACTGGTGGCTCCAGTGCCTGCTCTGATCTCTGCTTGCTCACGCATGGCTTATTACAGGATTCCCTGGCTCCAAAGGGAACCTGCCTGATCCAATGCTGGAGCTTGTTACCAGCTCCCCGTGCAACAGACAGCACACAAGAGCAGCAGCTCTGGGTACCCTGCTCCCCCTCTATATAGCCAAAATGTAACCTCAAGGATTTGTTCCTAAGCTGTTTGTCTGACACCTCCCTAGGATCAGACACTCACTGAACAGTGACTTACTAATAACTGATCGTCTGTAATGGCAGTGAGGTGTCCCCATGAGCCATGGCACTGGCAGGCAGGGGCCCCCATGGCTCTGGCACTGCTCCCACAGCTGCTTCTCCGAGCCTCTGCAGGTGAGGGCTTACAGCAGCACATTCTGTGTCTGGCTGAATTTATACACAGACAGTGGTTGTATAACAACCCAATGACCCGGTACAGTCACTGCTGTGCACGGGCAGTGAGGCAGTGCTGTGCTCACTGCTGGTGGTGGTGGTGTGAAAATCACATCAGGCAGTGAACTCTACACCCAGCCAAAGCCTCAGCTACATTCTGACCTGCACCTTATGGTGCACCTGCTCAGTGCTGGGGTGCAGCAACCCCAGGAAACAAGCAGCTCAGCCAGCTCATAACCCACTGCACAGGCAGCACTGCCCGTGTCACAAGCCAAGCAATGTTTATTCCTTCTCCATCCTGCTTCTCCAGCAATGAAGGTACCAGGCTTTCACAAACACAGGCAGGGAAGAGCTGTACACAGGCTGTCACTCAGCAAAACCATCAAGTTTGTAAGTAAATTCCTTGGACACAGAAGAAATCAGAACTGGACACTAGTGAAAAAGACAGGCTTCCCACTGCAAACTGGTTATGAAGAGCAGTTTTGGTAGAGGTGGCTGCCTCTGAAGTTTGGGTCAAGCCATGGGACAGGTAAAACTGCTCTGAAATCCAGCAGTGAAGCAGCTGCTCACTGAAGGAGCTCACAGTCAGAGCCAGCCAAGGACTTCACAGCAGAATAAGCATCATCTCTGTGTCAGCCAGTTCCTCCTACAGGGAGGGACTGCAGCAAAACCACACAAAGTGACACAGCACAGAGCCCCTGTCCTGGGCAGGACACAGAGCTGGGAAGGCAGAGCCAAAGAGGGGCATACAGCAGGGAAATATGTGCAGGACATATAAAGTGTGCAGGGCCAAAACTCATCTGATCCCCTCCGAAAGGCAGCCCTTCCTGCAGGCTTAAAATCTCATGGGATTTGATAGCAGATGGTTAAGGCAGATTTTTGACAGTCTCATGATTGGGAGCCACAGGTACGTGCACCACTGCAGGGTGTATTGCAGCCCAGCTTTAAGCCATTCCCCCTTCAGGCCACACCCCTGTCCAAAGGCTGGCAAAATTAATTGGTTAATTACTATCTAAATGTGAATGGTGTTATGACCTGGCTTTGGGAACAAAACCACAGCTTTTTGTATTAAATGAGGCCACATTTCAAACTTTTTCATCTTGCCTGAACAAAGTGGAGAGGCTCTCAGAGGCTGCACAGGAACCCGAGGCCCTTTATGTGCAGCTCAGCAAAGAATTTTCCTTCAGCTCTGCAGCAGCACAAAAGAAGGTATGAAACTGTCTGGACTGTGGCCATGTCTTAATTCCACATCAACAGTGCTGTGAGCCATACTAATGGGGACCGTAACAAGCCCCTAAAAATCTTAAAAAGCAGTCACACAGCACCTTCCAGCTGCCACGCTCCAGACAGACAATTCAGACTAAACCATTGAAGCAGGAATTGCTGTTAGGAATGATTTTAAAAATCCAAATACTACCATTGCTACCGATACATTTTTTTTCCATCAGATCTCAGCTTACCCTATCCCTAACAAATTGCAGCTTCACAGCTGCAAACAGTCCTCAGCCCAGAAGTACTTTCCAAGCCCTGTCTGAATTCTTCTAATGAAATACAGAAACAAAAAATGGACACAAATAGCAATGTTTAGAAATTCTGTTTATATAAAAGAAAAAATCCCTTTTTGCTCCATGACCAAACATTGTCACAACTTGCCCAGGGAAGTTTTGGAGCTTTCAACTGTGGAAATAGTCAAAACCCAGCCATAGCCCCAGCCCAGAGCAATCTGCCCTGGCTACACGTGGCTGAGCTGGGGGGAACGGCTCAGTGATCCCTGCCCACCTCACCTGCTCTGCAAGCCTGCAGAGCTCCCCATCCCACTGAATCCAGCCTCCAGAGGAACACTGACAGTATCCACCTCGGGACAGTCTACTGTGTGCATGCATTTCCCTTTTGAGTCAGACTGTCACCCTTCTCTTCCACAGGAGGGGGAAAAAGAAAAAAAAAAATCCCCAACACAATAAAAAAAGCACGACAGGTAAGGGTCTGAGGTAGCTGCTATTAAGATCAGGGCATGGCAATGACCCCTAAAATGTCTATTTTCTCAGTTGCCACACTGGCTGAAATTTAAGGTGAACCAAATCTTGGCAGTCTTCAAGAAGCAGAAAAACCAGCATTTTTCCAGACTCAGATATGCAGTCACTCACTACTTTCTTCAGGGGGAGCTCAGTAACCTCCTCTCCCTGATGCCCCTGGTAGATGCTCCCTGCATCTTTTCCCCCAAGTCATGGGTTTCCCCTACATGTTCCATGTTACCAGTGCAGTAGCAGAGAATAGCATGGAGGCTCATGAGGTGAAATAAACTTGTACCTACAGCACTGTCAGCCAATACAAGTCATATTTTGCATGTTTGTTTTTTAAGTTCATAATTTTTCAGATGACCTTGTGTTCTTCTTCATTTAATACATTTACAGTTCTATGTTCTCAAAGACAAAAGTTGACAGCCATGTGTTGGGGCTCAGGAGTAAAATTACCAATTATCTATAAACACAACAAAATGGAAATTAACCTATTGAAATGGCTGTCAAAGCAGAGGAAGGTGCAGACCCCCAGGCTCCCCTGTGCACCTCCCTAAGTACAGTCCATCACACAGAGACCTCTGTGACTTCCAGTGGATGCTCAGCACACACTGACAAACTTAAGAGACTAATGATGGGACAAAATACAGATCCAGTAAAAGACAATGGGTACTTGCTGAAGAACAGCATTAGAGGTATCACAGCACTGTGCTCTGAAAGCCCAGTAAGTTCAAGTACACTTTACTGTTAGGACTGTAACAGAAACCATCCTCAGTTAATCTGCCCTTCAAAAACACACCCGTTCCTCCAAACACTGCACACCCAAACCCTGCTAATGCACCCACCTCCCCTCTGCTCCAGGAGGAAAAGACATTTTCGTTTGCATGGAGACCACAAGAACATGGCTCATTTTTACGGAATCTGGAATTAGGCGCACCCAATTATGTGGTGAGAACTTTCACAGAGGTCAGCTGTTCTATCTGGGACTTTTCTTCACAGCCAATTTTTATGATTTCTCAGAAGGCTCAAAACCACAGCAGATCAAAGCACAGGACTGTAACAGTCACTCTGGAAAGAAATGAGGTCTGCCTAAAAGCACATCAGCCAACACATCCCAGTACCACAATTCCTTCTCCTCTCAGTAAATGGACACACTGATAGAGGTTTAATCCTCTGCCAAGCAAGAAACAATGACACAGGGACACCCAAAGTGATGAACAGCTGCTTTGTTTTCAAGTAGGTGTGGAAGAGCATACAATAAAAAAAAATATAACTGACAGAGCTCATACACAGATGAGTTTTTAGCGTAGAAAAACTTTTTTTTTAGTTAAAATTATAAAAAGTCCAAGACCCAAACTACAGCATTGTCCTGGCTGGCAGATACTGATGGTTATTCTGACTTAACAAAACCTGCACATAAACATAAACCCACTTGCTACATACCTTAGAATCAATCATGTATAAAGATGAAAATATTTAACCAGCTGCATCTCTCTCACCTGCTGACCTGCACAGTGTGGCCCCACAAACAAAAGTCCTTCATCCAGGAGGAACTGCAGGTTTGGTGATCCTAAAAGCAGTTCCTGACTGCAACTTGTGTGACATTTCAGAACCGTTCATCAGAAAGAATCTGAATCACAAAAAGGGTCACCAAAACAATTTTATTTCCAGTGTTTAAGTGGGTATGCACACAGGCATGATACAGGTTTGGATTCATTAGGTCTTCATGCAGAATTATATTCTCAATAAAAGAAACCAGTTCCATCCAGTATCCACTATCTACACGCCTATGTTACAACATTTATATCAAATCTGGTATCTGAAGAAAAGATACACATGTAATATGTACAGTTAAGTTACTTATTTTACAGAAAGATTAGAAATTCAAGTCACATAAAACTCAAAATCTGTATTAAAATTGGAAATATAAAACTCCAATATTTACTGGAATGCCTAAGGAATGGA